CTGGGGAATTCTGGGAGTTGAAGTCCACCAGGCTTTAAAATTGCCAAAGTCGGACACCCCTGCCTTAGAGTTTCTTACTGGATTTTGAGTATTTGGACATCTCAGGTCTATGACTGAGGCTGTGCTGGTTTACCAGGGAATAGAATAAAATAACAGAATTGGAAGGGACCTTGGAGGTCTTGTAGTCCAACCCCCTGCCCAGGCAGGAAACCCTATAACCACTTCAGACAAATGGTTATCCAACATCTTCTTAAAAACTTCCAGTGTTGGAGCATTCACAACTTCTGGAGGCAAGCAGTTCCACTAGTTAATTGTTCTCACTGTCAGGAAATTTCTCCTTAGTTCTAGATTGCTTCTCTCCTTGATGAGTTTCCACCTATTGCTTCTTGTCCTGCCTTCAGGTGCTTTGGAGAATAGCTTGACTCCCTCTTCTTTATGGCAGCCCCTGAGATAGTGGAACACTGCTATCATGTCTCCAATAGTCCTTCTTTTCATTAAACTAGCCATGCCCAGTTCCTGCAACTGTTCCTCATACGTTTTAGCCTCCAGTCCCCTAATCCTCTTGGTTGCTCTTCTCTGCACTCTTTCTAGAGTCTCAACATCTTTTTTTACATCGTGGCGACCAAAACTGGATGCAGTGTTCCAGGTGTGGCCTTACCAAGGCATTATAAAGTGGTATTAACATTTCACATGATCTTGATTCTATCCCTCTGTTTATGCAGCCCAGAACTGTGTTGGCTTTTTTTTATGATAGCCAAGCTATCAATTTTTTTGTACTACTCAGCTAAGAGGAAACCCCCCATGGACAAATTAGTCCAGACAAGGGTTTTTAGCAGAGGTGGAATTCAGCCGGTTCATACCAGTTCAAGCAAACCGGTAGCAGAGATTGTGGGTGAGCTGCCCTGACTCTATGATGTCCTATTTAGGCATGTTTTCCAGGCCAGGCACATGCACAGAAGGCGCACGAGCGAGCAGAGTGCATGCATGGGAGGCCGGGCGCATGCACGGAAGGCGAGCGCGCACGCGAAGCAAGCATGCACGCACGGGCAAACCAGTGATAAGAATATTGGAAACCTGCCACTGTTTTTTAGGCTACCCCAGAACTAAAATAATAGTTCCTCTAAGTAACTGCTTCTCATTCACAGTTCTAAATAGTCTTCTTTGTGGAAGCAAAACCCTACTGATTTTAATGGAACCATCACTTTACTCTAGGAATATTTTAGTGAAAAAAGAGGAAAACGGAAAGATGGTGACTCTTCAGAGTTCATTTACAATTCCTGTATTATTTCAGCTTTGGGTAAAGTGTTTCACACGTTATCTTGTGCTTCTAACAACCTTCATACACAATAGGCCAACATTACCCCTCCAGTGGAGCTAAAATATTAACCAGGAGTGCATTTATCTTTCCAGGTAATTTAGAATAGGTTCTTAGAATCATAGGGCTGGAAGGGATCTTGGAGGTCTTCTGGTCCAACACCACATCCGGGACAAATGGTTGTCCAATCTTTACTTGAAAACCTCCAGTGATGGAGCACTCACAACTTTGGCAGGCAAGCTGTTCCATTGGTTAATTGTTCTATTAGGAAATTCCTCCTCATTTCCAGATTGGATCTCCTTCTGATGAGCTTCTACCCATTGCTTTTTTATCCTGCCCTTAAATGCTATGGAGAATGTGTCTTACTTACAGATTAACAAAATTGGAAGGGACCTTGTAGGTCATCTAGTCCAACCCCCCGCCCAAGCAGGAGACCCTACACAATTTCTGACAGATGGCCGTCCAGTCTCTTCTTGAAAGCTTCCAGGAATGAAGCTCCCACAACTTCTGAAGGCAACTTCTGTTCCATTGGTTGATTGCTCTCACTGTCAGAAAATTTCTCCTTATTTCCAGGTTGAATCTTTCCTTCAGTTTCCATCCATTATTCCTTGTCTGGCCTTCAGGTGCTTTGGAAAATAGCTTGGCCCCCTCCTCTCTGTGGTAGCCCCTCAAACATTGGAAGACTAGGGGAGAAACTGGAAGTATCGCGGCAAGATCAGATGGAAAAATAGCGGCCTCTGACGAGCTCCGCAAAAATCCAGCTGGACAAACCACTGTTGGAGGGGTCTTCAGACTGGAACCATCCTGTAGGGATTGGGAAGAAGGAGATGCATCTTGGATGACCAAGAGGAACAGGCAAGTTCCTCCGAAGGTCAGAGACAGCTCTTCGGACCAGTGGCGGGGGCGGCGGCCATTGTAAAATGATCACTCTGAAGCTGGGGCAACCGGACTAAGTTTTTGTGCAGGAGCGGTGTTTGAACGGAATGCTTGTCCAAGTGCTAGACCGATTAATAGGAGCTTGCAGGAAAGATGGAAGAAAAATTATTTTTCATTAACAAAATAAACACAATCTCAAAAGGTGTTTACTGTCTCCCAGGTACCATTCGGGACTTTAGAGAGAGAAACTGACTTCTGGCTAGTGCGATGGCAATATTATATGAGCATCTGCTAGTGGCCTCCTGGGTTTTGTGCCTGAACTGTTACATGGTGGGAAAAAGAAGTTTTTGTTTCATGATGTGGCTTTCTTTGTAAATCGAGCTTTAATTGCTGAATACCCAGTACTGTTTTTATTGGACATTTTAAAGAAAATATATATAAATACAAACAGAAATGTGGTGAAGGAATAAAAGAATATATGCAGAGGTGGGCTTCTCATCATTTAACAATCGTTTCTGCCCAGAATCAAATATGTGAGTGCACATGGTTTGCATGCATGTGCGCGGCTTAAAAACATGGGTAAATAGGACGGCATAGTGCTGGGGTGGGCCCATCCGCAGGTCACAACTACCAGTTCGCCCAAACTTGTCCAAACCGGCTGAATCCCACCCCCAAATATATAGTAATGCAAAGGAACAAACCAGGGATTTAAAAGAGCCACTGATGCTAGCTTACTAATATATCTTGTAAATAGTTGTGGTTATTTTATAGCATGAAAAGATGGGAGAATCAGCTTGAGTTAAAAGTGATTATCAATAAATACCGGTAATAACTGAATATGGTGTATCTTTGCACTTCTCATCTAGAGAATGCATGAATGTCTACGAGGAAAGTTCAAAATCTGCAAGGGGTCAGATACAGTGTCTTGAATACACACATACTCACACACACACACACACACACACACACACACACACACAAAGGGGATCAAAATGCTGCACTTTTCATCTTGCGGATTTTGATACATACCCTTCCTGGACACCACTGCGACAGTATTACCAAACTGTTATAAGGCACACAGATTACAGATTAACAGTTGGAAGGGACCTTGTAGGTCATCTAGTCCAACCACCTCACCTAAGCAGGAGACTCTACACCATTTCTGACAGATGGTAGTCCAGTCTCTTCTGGAAAGCTTCCAGTGATGAAGCTCCCACAACTTCTGAAGGCAACTTCTGTTCCATTGGTTGATTGCTCTCATTGTCAGAAAATTTTTGCTTATTTCCAGGTTGAATCTCTCCTTGTTCAGTTTCTATCCACTATTCCTTGTCTGGCCTTCAGGTGATCCCCTCCTCCCTGTGGCAGCCCCTCAAATATTGGAACATTGCTATTACATCTCCCCTGGTCCTTTTCTTCACTATACTAGCCATGCTCAGTTTCTGCAACTGTTCTTCATATTTTAGCCTCCAGTCCCCTAATCATCTTGGCTGCTCTTCTCTGCACATTTTCTAGAGTCGCATCTTTTTAATAGTGTGGTGACCAAAACTAGATGCAGTATTCTAGGTGTGGTCTTACTAAGGCTTTATAGAGTGGTATTAGTATCTCATAGATAGGTAGTCTTTAACTTACGACTAGTGGTTTAGTGATTGTTTAAAGTTACGATAGTACTCACTGTCAAGGACCTTGAAGTACTCATCTCAAATGATCTAAGTGCCAGAGCTCACTGTAACAGCATTGCTAAAAAAGCATTAAGAGTTGTTAACCTAATCTTGCGAAGCTTCTTTTCCGGTAATATTGCAAACTAGGGCCTACAAAACTTTTGCCAGACCAATTCTTGAATACAGCTCATCTGTCTGGAACCCGTACTACATATCGGACATTAATACAATCAAATGAGTCCAGAGATATTTCACGAGAAGAGTCCTCCACTCCTCTGCTCACAACAAAATACCATTTTTGTTTACCAAATTTTGGGCTTAGACAACTTAGAACTTCGCCGTCTTCGGTCTGACCTAAGCGTGGTACATAAAATTATCTGTTACAATGTCCTACCTGTCAATGACTACTTCAGCTTCAACCAAAACAATACAAGAGCACACAATAGATAAACTCATGGTAAACCAATGCAAACTTGATTGCAGAAAATACGACTTCAGCAACAGAGTTGTTATCGCCTGGAATGCACTTACCTGATTCTGTGGTTTCTTCCCCAAACCCCCAAAACTTTAACCTTAGACTGTCTACTGTTGACCTCACCCCTTTCCTAAGAGGTCTTTAAGGGGCATGCATAAGAGCACCAGTGTGCCTACTGTCCCTGTCCTAATGTTCCCTTTTATTTGTATCCATTTCATATATTCTTGAATATATATGAACTTGTTGCTGGTATCCTTACGATTTATATTGATATTGTTTCCTGATTGCTTATTTGTAACCTATGACTATCATTAAGTGTTGTACCTTATGATTCTTGATGAACGTATCTTTTCTTTTACTTGTATCTGTTATCAAATACATGCTTGACAAAATAGAATAAAATAAATGGTCGTAAATCGAGGACTGCCCACATCTTGTCTTTCATCTTTTATCATGAAAGTGCATGGGAAGCTTGACTGAATGCCTATCCGCCATTGGGTGAAAGGCTATTTACCCATTTTCAGCCCTGGGTTTTCACAACTCTTCATTTGCATTAATTTGCAGGAAAGTTCCCACTGACGTCAGCACATCTGGGGGAGACAGCAATGTGCCAGAAGCCGGGGCTGTCTTCCTCTTTATGATCACGTTGAAAAATACAACCCGACGGAATGCAAGATGTTGTAGAACAGATTTATTTAGGCGCACAAAGAAATCAATGCATTTGACAGATATTAAAAGGGACAAGGGCTGTCTCTTGCTCTCTACACTGTGCGGTAAAATTGGCCTTTCCTATGTTCGTTAAAAATATTCTCAAACCTACATGAGTGAAGATTGCCTTTATATACAAATAAATAGAGGGGAAGCACTTTTTGTTGGTTTAAAAAAATATTTTACAGCCTTTACATTTTGAAAAGATCCAAAAACAGGGCAAAAATTAAGAGATGTCTTGGTGACAATGTGCAGTCTTTGGTATAACTAATGGGTGCCAGTTGGCGTCTAGAGAGTTCCTTTAAATCAAAATGAGAGACTTCTGTAGCCTCGCAAACGTTGCTGAGGCCAGTTTCCCATTAGGCCCAGCCAGGATGACAAATGGCCATTTGGGAAAACCATCCCTATTTGGGAGAATCTAAATAAAACTGAATTACACTGGATGGAAATATACCGTTTACATTCAACGAGCAGAGGTGCTTTGCAGCCCAATCACCTGAGATCATTTACCTGGAAATACCATTTCTGTAAAAGTGCAGAATTGCCCCCCTCCCCCCACCCCATTATTTTGTGGAACCACTAGATCAGGAAGGATCCATTTATTTGATCGACCATAAAGTGCTTGCTACAAACAATCCAAGCTTCATTTCCTTAGCATCTCCATGTAGAGCAAGGGTGACAAACTCAAGGCCTGCGGGGTGCTTTGATCGGGCCCGCAGGGCCCCCCTGGGAACAGCAAAGGACCGGCCCGCAGTGCCTCTGCCAGCAAAAAACCGTTTTCACTGGCAGAGGGTTGCAGGAAGCCGTCCCAGCTGAAAACGGAGCTTGGGAGCCCGATTTTGCTGGCAGAGCGCTTGGGCCGCCACAGGCACCGACACGGGTGATGTCAAGCTGGCCACGCCTACCCTGCCCACACCAAATCCACCCCCCCCGAGGTCAAACACAACCCTGATGCGGCCCTCAATGAAATTGAGTTTGAAACACCCCCCACCCCCGATGTAGAGGGTTCCACAAAGGTTCGGTCTAGAATCCTGATGGATCACTTATACGTCAACTATATGATGCTAATTGCTAGGATGCAGACTCAGGATCCATCCGATGATCCCTGGCTGTAAGTCCTACATTCAAGCCACTGCTTTACCACAAAATAAAATCCTTGATTACCCATTCGGATCAGTTTGTTCATATTCTAAAACTGGAAGACTAAACTTTTTTTTTTTAAAAAAACCAAAACAAACAGGGACTTCTGTTTTTATAAATGGGGCCGTTGTGCTTGCATTCCAAATAATCTGAGTCTTGCTCCATTGTGTGAGTGAGTTACCTATAAATCATCCCCAAAAAAGAATACTTAAAAGCTCTGAAAAGAGATCACAGTGGGCCAGTAAGATAACGCTGATCATCATTATCAAGGAAAGCAGCCTTAGCTGTAGGGGTGTCTGCAGAGTATGGTCAAAATCTTCAAAATGCTGGACATAACAGGGCAATTAACCAGTGGTAGTTTTCAAATCCCGTTGCTACTGCTTTGCTCATGGGTGCTTGCGTGCACAACACTTCTGCACATGCGCAGAAGCGTCCTAGCGGGTGGGCGTAGCCTCCCGCTGCCACCACTGGTTTGCCCGATCTGGGACGAACAGGGGTGGGTTCTAAATTTTTTTACTACCGGTTCTGTGGGCGTGGCTTGTTTTGTGGGTGTGGCTTGGAGGTCATGTGACTAGGTGGGCGTGGCTAGCTGGTCAGAGTCATTTCTGGAAGGTCCTCGCACTTACGACCCGACTCATTTGTTTGCTTTTAACACTGATCAGCTGTAGGACGGCCCTTTGAAGCCCCGCGGCAAGAGTTTAAACAGTTTTTTCCCTCTAGTCATCAGCTGGGACTCAGGAGGCAGCAATAGATTGGGGTGGGACCAAATAAAAGGTAAGAATAACATGGGTGGGTGGGTGGGAGGGCAGGGGGGGGAGAACCGGTTCGGTGACGTCATATCATCACCGCTACCGGTTCGGCCGAACCGGACCGAACCAGGAGGAACCCACCACTGGGGGTGAACTGGTAGCAACCCACCATTGCAATTAACGCTCTGCCTCTTTGCAATGTGTGTTGATTTTGTGATTCGCGTAAAAAGCAGGTGGAGCTTGGACTGCACTGTCATATCCAATCCATCTTGACTTTTTTTGACCATAGCCTGCGCATGACCCCGTTTAGGTACATGCAGTTGGGAGATTAGATATTGGCAGGTCTAGAAAAAAAGGAAGCAAGGATTAAGAAAAGATTTAAAAATACTATGGAGTTCAGAAAAGATTCCCACTCAGGGGGACTCGGCAAAGGGTTCCCCCCCAAAAGTCGAACTTTTTAAAAACATAATTCTATTACAGTTCATATCTATTCCATTTTTAAACATTATGTCAAAAAACTACCTATAAACATAAATCTCTGTTCATATCTTTACAGGATTAAGTGAAACATATAGAAATGACTATTTATGGACATAATTGTTCAGTAACAATTGAATTTCGTCCTGAAAGTCTAATTGGTCATCAAATGCTTTGTACAACTGCATTGATTCATTCCTCCCTGAAATAATAGAAATACTGTAGAAACTAGAATAGAAATAATAGAAATAGAACTTTTCTGTGAAAATGTGAGTGCATTCGTGTGTGTCTGTAGGAGGTACACACTCACGTCATATATGGAAAATAAGTCAAATACTTGTGTATGTCTATGCATGTACTGTACATTTAGTTTTTACTACTTTCGTCTTTCTTTTTTTGGCATTGATATATTTTTCTTCTCTGCATTTTTACACCTGTGTTTTTGTAAGAATAACACACCTTAATTTTAATTTTTTTTTTCAAGGGACAAGATTTTAGAGGCACGTTTTAATTTTCAGGAGCCATTCACCGTTAAGAAAGGGAAGATGACGGAAAACCGACACCGAGACCTTCACAAAGCTCTTTAAATGCTACTCTCTTTCCAGAATTCCCTTCACCTTCCTACGTTTCTAATCTCTGATCCAAGGTTGCTCACAGTGGCATTTTATGCAAAGCACATCACAGCAGAGATGCTGATGTAATACATGGGCCACATACACACACACACACACTTCCGAAGGAGATGAATGTGGAATTTAGATCGTAATTTAGCAGGGCGTTAAGCTGCTAGTCACCAGTCCCCTTCCGTTCTACTGCTCAGAAGGCATAGCTTCACAACGCAATACTTCGTGTTGGGAATTTACAGAGGAAATTAGAGAGCGATCCGTGGCCCTTTGAATTTTAAATGCAATTTCAACGCATCTTGGCTGTGCTCTGAACAAGTACGTGTACAATCACTGCAGACAATCCGTGAGGGAGGACAATTACATCACTAGCCGTCTTCTTAGAAATCTTTATCCCAGCCTGAAAGTTCATCGGGTGGGACTCCCTGTTCAGGTGGATATCGGTCGAAGTGGCTGTAGTCCATAGGACCTGAAAGCTATAAAATAGTTAACAGTATAAGCATACTTGAAGTAAAGGTTAAATGTTTCCTTGTCCAGTTGTGTCTAACTCTAGGGCTGTGAGGGCAAATCTATGGCATACGTGCCAGAGGTGCCATGCAGCACCCTCTCTGTGGGCACACGAGCCGTTGCCCCAGTTCAGCTCTGCCGTGCATGCACGCGCGGATAGCTGGTCTTTGGGTCTCTGCCGTGCATGCGGAGGGGGCGTGGTGCGTGCATGCATGTGCATGCCTGCAGGGTGCATGTGAGGGGCCACACATGTATGTGCAGGTGATGGGGTGCATGCAAGGGGCCCCCATGCGGGGGCGTGGGGGTCCACATGCGCATTGCATTTTGAGGGCTCGGGCGCACATGTGCGCTTTGGGCACTCGGTCTGGAAAGGGTTAGCCATCACTGCTCTAGGGTATTCATCTCTGCTTCTTGCCCGAGGGAGCCAGCGTTGTCAGGAAGTATTTTTTTTTTCCATAGTCATGTGGCCAGCGTGGTTATATGCGAAAGGTGCCCAGAAGGGTTACCTTCCCACTGAAGTGGTACCTGTTTATCTAATTGAATTTTCATGCTTTTGAACTAATAGGTGGGCAGGAGCTGGAGCAAGTAACGGGAGCTCACCCCATCACGTGGTGCTCGGGTCTTGAACCTGGGCTGTCAGCTTCCGGTTTGGACTGGATCGCCCGATCCGGTAGTGATGGTGGCGGGTGGTTCGGAGAACCGGTAGCAAAAATCCCTGCCCCTGCCCCCATGCCCAGCTGAGCCGCGCAATCATCACAGGCTTGTTTTTTTTTTTACTTTTAAAAGCATTTTTTATACAACCTCTTTGGCCAAAAAAATGCTTTTAAAAGTAAAAAAAAAGCCTCAGATGATCACACAGCTCAGCTGGGATCGTCAGAGCCTTTTAAAAGCATCAGGGCCGGATTTTCCTATAGGCTAACTAGGCTTCAGCCTAGGGCCTCAAGATCAAGAGGGGCCTACATTCAAATTGTTAGCAAAATAAAAATTACACTTTCACTATAGGTGAAAGGGTCTCATAAGTGGAATAGCCTAGGGCCTCTTTTCATCTAAATCCGGCCCTGAAAAGCATTTTCTCTACAACCTCTTTGACGGAAGAGGTTGTAGAAAAAATGCTTTTAAAAGGCTCTGACGATCCCAGCTGAGTTGCCTGATCGTCAGAGGCTTTTAAAAGCATTTTTTTCTTTTAAAAAAAAAAAAGTTGGCCACGTCCACCGAGTTACATTATCCCCAACCAAGCCACGCCCACAGAACGGTAATAACGAATTTTACATTTCACCACTGCACTGACTCCATCCCCAATGACCCAGATTAGGGTTTGTGTGTGTGGGTGGGGGGGACAGAACCCCCATTGCATCTTCATAACACACATTTTAAAGGGGAACTCCAGGAATATTGTTCCTGGTTTTTAAAAAAACAAGGCACTGGCTTGTGCATGCATTCATTTAAAAGGGACTGATTGAGTACCTCTCTTTTAAGGGGTGATGATAACTTCATTGCTTTGAGTCCTTCCCAATTAAAACCATTCAGCCACCTAGAATGGAAAGTCACAACAGCAAGAGGGTTATTTAACTGGTTTCATAATTATAGTCCCAAAGAAACCTGCCACTGCATCTGTCAGGCCTGGAAGCCATCTTTTGCACCGGGCCTTCAGGCCTGCCACATTTACTGCTGTGGGAAATTGGGAGGGGGGATTGTATGGAGCCAGGGAGATATATAGTCATAATAACATTCCTTTCTCAGAGAGTCAAGGACATCTTGCCCTGCACCTGGAGGAGTTTGACTGGGAGGCATCTCCTGTTGGGATAGTGCTTGGCTTGGACCATGTGATGGACGTGTGGGTGCTGGGCAGGGACTTGGATTTTCTTTTGGGTGGGGAAAACCTGGAAGCTTTCAGATTCGGGTTTTCCCAGATGTGCCAATATGACATCTCTAATAAAATGGAACTTTGAGGAACTTCAAGCCTCGGAGTCTTCTTTTGTTGGGGGTGTTAATTGGAACCCTGACATTCACTCTTAAAGCAGGGATGGATGTTGGAGAATATTTTTTTGTATTCAAGGGCTGCAGTGTTCTGCCATCGGTCAAGGGTCCATAATAAACAAGGCCCTTCCTCCCTGCGACACCCCCAAATCTGTCTGCCCTACTACATCTACCAATGGACTGCTACAATGGTACGTGGGAATGATTGTGAGAAAAAGGGGAAGAGATCCTATCTAGGGATTGATTAGATAAGAGGTGGTAGAGCCTGAAGCTGCCTATTGGGTGGAGAAAGAAACTCTTTTTACCAGAGCTAAAAGCGATGATGCGAGATTTATACCTTCAGTCTTGCAGGATTGATAATCAGCTTTTCTAGCTAGAGGAAACATGAATTGATGAGCTAATTCTACTTTATTCTAAGGCTACTTTAACAAAATCTTGCAAAGTCCAAGGGATAGGTAATGCTCGACTTACGACCACAATAGAGCCCAAAATTTCTGTTGCTAAGTGAGATTGTTGATAAAGTGAATTTTGCACCATTTTACGAAAATGGTTTTAAAAGTAAAAAAAAAAAAAAAGGCAAAGCCCACCCAGTCACATTAGCCCCCCACCTCCCCAAGCCATGCCCACAGAACCGGTAGTAACAAATTTTAGATTTCACCATTGGCTAGGAGACTCTATGGTGGGGGAACTGGACTTATAGTTGGCTCCAGAATTAAACGAGGGACTTCTGGTTAGGACCTTTGTGGCTCTTTGAGTGTTTAAGGTTGCCGACCCCTGGTCTATCCAGTGATTTTCACTGGTCTCCTGCATTTGGGATATGTATTAAGGCCAAGATATACTGTATATGAAATTAGCCTGACTGTTAATTTGGCCTGAGGGCCGCAGTTACCCACTATTTATCTTAAAGCATTAAAAGCAATGGCAGCAGTAAAATAAGAGATATTATATGTACAGTCAAACTCTTCATCGATTACTATGCAAATCTTTAAATCTTTGCCCTGCGGTATGATGGGCAGCCACTAAATTTAATAAACCAACAAATAAACATATAAGGAAACAAACAAAGGAACGAACGAATGAATAACTAAATAAAAATTACCTGTGCCTCTTAATGTCATGGATTCCATGCTTCAGATTTCCTAATCTCTCTGTAGGACTTTGTCTATTGTATATTTGTGGGTAAGAAACAGAGAGAGAGTAAGACAATGAGTACACACTTCATAATTTAGAAACTATTTGCACAACTTGGTAATTGATTTCCTTGTGCATCTCAGAGACCTGAGTATCTCCTATTTGATTTGCAAGATAAAGGTAGTTGGGAGTGGATCAGTTTACCGTGGATTATTATTGCCATGGTTATTATTATTTATATTCTATCTTCCTTTGGGAGCTGAAGGTGATGTCTCCTTATTTTTTCATACCCAATAACTGAGGTCAGCTGGACTCCAAACAAGTGAATGGATCAAAGGCACTTGAAAGCTAAAATGGGTGTTTTCCCAATAGAGGTTTAACACTTGAACATACATTGTACAATTCATCAGTGGTGAAATCCTCCGCACTTTGCCACCAGTTCACTGCCCACGCATGCGCACTGCGCGCCAAATGCATGCTATGCGCCCGCATGTGCGGTGCATGCCAAACGCAGGCTTCCCACAGAAAAAGGAGGCTTAAGAAGGTAAGTAGAACAGCGAGGGGGGAGGTAACAGCTGTGCCGCGTGATTTAGATTCGCTAGAAACTAGCGAATCTAAATTGCGTGGCACAGCTGATCATCAGAAATACCGGTTCAGACGAACTGGTAGCTTTTTTTTAACTACCGGTTTGCCCGAACCGATAGCTTTTATTACTACTGGTTTTCCTGAACTGGTGCAAACTGGGAACATTTCACCCCTGCTATCCATGGATAATCTGTAGGGCAGCTGAAGGATCTCCAGCAGCGGTGGGTTTCACATTTTGTTACCACTGGTTCGCCCCGCGCATGGGTGCCTCCCGCACATGCATCCGGCCTTCTGTGCATGCACTTTGTTTGCATGTGCACCTTCCATGCATACGCCCGGCCTCAACAACATGCCTAAATCGGATGTCATAGAGCTGGGGCGGGTGGGCAGGTCCACCTGCTATTTCCACTACCGATTCGCCCGAACCGGCTGAATACCATCTCTGATCTCCAGTCATTTTGGCTGGTGGGCATATGTGAAAGTTTGAGCAGTGTGGAAGGAGCATGGAACTTGAAAACATAAAGAAATCTGCACGTTTCATTGATGGTTTTGGTGTACATGGGTGACTAGAGAATTGGCATGGAGCATTGCCCATTAATAGCCTTATTCTCCAGGACTCTAATTCTTTGTTAAATGATTAAATACGTCTCTTCATAAAAACAGAAGTATTGCACATATACAGTAGTGGCCAAAATTGTGGAAACCTTTTGGGAAAAGTATGTTTTCTAAAACTAGCTAATAACACCAGTTTTTTTTTTGGAGTAGTACCATAAAATTATATATCAATGGAAAAATAATTTAATCAAGAATGTAATGCAATAACTTTTATGAAGGATTTGCTATTAGAATAGCAGTTACAGTATAAAGAAGAAAAGTGAAACACGTAGGAAAAAACGAGATATACAAAAATGATCACCATAGAAAAAAATGAGATACACAAAAATAATCACCATATCAATTAATCCTTAGTTGGGTAACCTTTAGCATGAATGACGGCCTTACGATGTCTTCCCATGGAGTGAACCAAGTCTTTTAGTTCTGCAGCTGTTATCAGGTGAAACCAAGATTGAATGACTGCTTCTATTAACTGGGTTTTATTGCTGGGTCGCTTCTGACTAACAAGTTTCTTTAGTCAGATCCATAGATTTTCAATTGGGTTAAGGTCTGGGCTATTCCCAGGCCATTCCAGCAGTGGAATAGGATTATCTTGAAACTCCCCCCCCCCAAAAGTGGTGTTATTAGCCATCAAACCTCAAAAATACACTTTTCCCAAAAGATTTCCACAATTTTGGCCACTACTGTATATACAGAAATAATCCTTGCATACTGAAAACCAGCAGGTCAGATATGTGAAGAAAAAGTGGTTTAGTCCAACTGCAGGTTCTTTATTTCACAAAGTGTTTGAGGAATCTCAAAGTCCAAGCTTGCTGGTCATTTGGAAAAAAAAAAGAAAAACCCTCTTCTAGTCACAGGATTAAATGGAATGACTTATTGAGTAAGTGCTAGGGCAATTATATCTCAATGTGTCTGGAGCAGTTCCCACATAGGCCCTCAAATTATCAGATATTAATTTGTAACAGCCAAAAGTGATCCACAAGGCTGATTTACAGCTTCCTTGCATATTACTGGCTTGACAGCCCAAAGCTTCCCATGATCCATATATATAATTAAAATTGCTGTAGGTTAATTAAAAGCAGGAGATTACGAGGGTGATTACGTGAAACTTCATTCAAGGCGGCAGAAATGAAGATTTATGATGTCCAATCTGTTTGAAGGATGGGAACAGAACAGCAAGTAATTCTGCTGAAGGTATTATAGAGATAGTCCTTGACTAATGACCTGTCACTTAATGACTGTTTACATTTATGATGGCCACCAAACAGGTTCTTTATGGCCTCTAAAGCACCTCACAGCTTTCGTAAATAGTTGAACCACTCATCAACACCTGTGATCAGGTAAACACGATTTGCAAATTTTTTTTTTTTTTTTTTGCTAATTTTTAGCAAAAATATGGCATTCAAGAGAGTGGATTCACTTAATGACTGCTACATTTGCTTAAATGACTGCTTATGATGAAAAATGTCAGAGAAACACTTCAGGTTATGTGGGTGCTTCAATTTATGACCGTAATGACTTGTGACCAGATTTCTAGTCCCAATTATGAACGTTAAGTCAAGGACTACCTGTATTAGATTCCAAAAAAACCCCTCTGATGACAAGAATGAAATACTCTTAGATCTTTCTGTTTTCTTGGTGTTCTGTTCTTTTCTTTTATGACAGAATTCCATGCAATATTTCCAAGAGAACAATCATTTTTGGGGCCTTCAGACCATGAGGTCATCTGAGGCCACAATCTCAGCAATTCAGTCTTCAATTCTTACTATGCTTCTTTGCAGAATACACATTAAAATGGTTTACAAGCCTTCGTTACTTAAGTGCTCAGTTTTAAAGCCAAGCTACTAGTTGCTAGCAATTCACCCAAAATATTTAACCTCCACAGAGAAGCCATACAAGTTAGCTGGTTATGACATGGAGACATGTCATAGATAGAAAAGATAAAAAAAGAGCCTTGGTAGTACAATGGTCTAAGGCACCCTGTTATTAAGCTGGTTATTAAGCCAGCTGCCTGCAATTACTGCAGGTTCGAATCTCGCCAAGGCTCAAAGTTGACTCAGCCTTCCATCCTTTCTAAGGTAGGTAAATTGAGGACCCAGTTTGTGGGGGCAATAAGCTGACTTTGTATAAATATACAAAAGGATGAAGGCTATTGCTGAGCACATTGTAAGCCGCCCTGAGTCTCCGGAGAAGGGCGGCATATAAATCAAATAAAAAAAAAAAAAAGAGAGAAAGAGATTTGGAGGGGATAATAAAATTCCTACAGGTAGTCCTCGACTTACAATTGAGTCCAAAATTTCCATTGCTAAGGAATATAGTTGTTAAGTGAGTTTTGCCCCATTGTATGACCTTTCTTGCTACAGTTGTTAAGCGAAACACTGCAGATGTTAAGTTAGTAACACGGTTGTGAAGTGAATCTGGTTTTCCCATTGATTTCGCTAGTCAGAAGGTCACAAAAGGGAATCACAAGATCCCAGGACACTGCAACTTGCAGTGTGAGCTCATAAATGTGAATCAGTGGCCAAGTATCCGAATTTGATCGTATGACCACAGCAATGCTGCAATAATCATAAGGATGAAAAATGGTCATTGGTCACTTTTCTTAGTGCTGTTGTAACTTCGAACAGTCATTAAGTGAATGTAGTCAAGGACTACCTGTACTGAATTTATTTTTCTTTCTTTCTTTCTTTCTTTCTTTCTTTCTTTCTTTCTTTCTTTCTTTCTTTCTTTCCTTCCTTCCTTTTCTTTCTTTCTCTTTCCTTCCTTCCTTCCTTCTCTTTCTCTTTCTTTCTCTTTCCTTCCTTCCTTCTCTTTCTTTCTTTCTTTCTTTCTTATTTTTCTTTCCTTCCTTCCTTTTCTTTCTTTCTTTCTTTCTTTCTTTCTTTCCTTCCTTCCTTCCTTCCTTCCTTCCTTCTCTTTCTTTCTTTCTTTCTTTCTTTCTTTCTTTCTTTCTTTCTTTCTTTCTTTTTCTTTCCTTCCTTCCTTTCCTTTCTTTTATCACGCAACTCATATCGAATGACTCTGGGTCACTAACAATATAATGAAACTGCAGTGAAATTAAACTTTTACATCCTCTTTTAATGAATTAAAAGAGGATGTAAATTTCTCTGCGTAATTCTTAAGAGTTTTATGGACTCATCTGAAGAGATAAGATATCTCATGTTTGCTAGTTTGAGGAAGGCAGACTACATAAACTAAAACACATCCCGGGTGAGATATCCACTGATAACAATGGGACTTTGGCAGTGGTGGGTTTCAAATTTTTTTACTACCGGTTCTGTGGGTGTGGCTTGATGGGTGTGGCAGGGGAAGCTTACTGCAAAATCCCCATTTCCTCCCGATCAGCTGGGATTTGGGAGGCAGAGAATAGATGGGGCTGAGGCCAGTCAGAATTTTTACTACTGGTTCTCTGAAAATTTCCGCTAACGGTTCTCCAGAACTGGTCAGAACCTGCTGAGACCCACCTCTGGACCTTGGTCTAAATCAGTGTTTCTCAACCTTGACAGCTTGAAGATGGGTGGACTTCAACTCCCAGAATTCCCCAGCCAGCAAAACCACTGGTCTAAATAGATCGGTATGGAATTACACTGCTGAATAACACCAACAAACATAAGATTTTGGATTAAAATCTGGCTGGACGTTGAGTGTTCAAGGAAATACTACCTTGCTCAATTATTCTTCTCACACCTCTGCAACACAATTGCTCTTCTCTCACCTGCAAAGCCGCCGAATCAAATCCTCAGGGCGCTTGGTTATTATTCTGGGAAAATCCAGTCTCTCAACGCCTTTTAAAATCAAATTGTAGGTCATCATTTGATCGACTCCGGTAAAGGGAGGACTTGAGTAGGTGTCATTTCAAAATTGAAGGAAGGGGAGGGAGAGAAAATACATGGTTATGAAGAAAGAAATTGTGTGTTGGACCTAAGCATCTTTTCCCCAGGTGCTAGGCTGTTCTTCTAAACAAAGACAGGATTGTGATTTATCACAAACTGGTTTTCTCATAACCTGCGTTTTATGTTATAGAGACTTTTTAGGGGGGGGAATGTTACAGGAAGTCCTCAACTTACGACCAAAACGGAGCCCCAATTTTCTATTGCTAAATGAGACAGTCGTTAAGTATGTTTCACCCATTGTACGACCTTTCTTGCCAGAGTTGTTAAGAGAAGTCCTATCCCTTCAAAGGAGGGATAAGTAAGTAAGACTGATGGGCTACAATTTTGGCAACCTTGCTACGAAGCGCAGCTGAGGAATAGTTGCCATACAAAGGGCACCCCACATCTTGAGAAAAAACAATCTGTCAGGGTTCCAAGTACTCATAGCAAACAAATCTCTGAGGCAGGCAAAGTCCTCAAAGAATAGGTTTATTGGATATGTCATTTTGGCACAGGCTAGTGAAAACCGACTCTGAATATTCCCGCAGTTTTCACCTAATTAAAATTAAAAGTTTGCCACTTTCTCAAAACAATCAGTCACATTGTCCAATCAGAATACTGTCCAGTTGCTAGGTGACTCCAGTCCCCTCCTTCTGAACAAACGCAGGAATGTCCTTGGTTCCCAAGAGAAAGTATTTTGTTTTGACTACAACTCCCCAACTATCTCTATTCCTCCCCCCTTGCTATCCCTTTTCTCCAGTGTGTCAGCCCTGAAGTTTCAGTGAGGCCAGCTTCAAGGTTGACACAATCAGCAATTGCAACTGATGGTGAGCAGAGTCTGGTTCACCTACAACTCCTTTTTCTTTCTGGGCTTTTCTACATCAATCCTTCTCTATTTTTTGCACACCCAAAGATGAAGTGTAAAAAATTCTCAAAGAAGCAGATTAGAAAACAAAGGGATCAACGTGGGGCCACCCAGATGTAGGACAACCCTTGAGCTGTGGGCTCCTCTCTCATTTATAAGCACACACACTATGAGCCCAATATGGCCCTCAGTGTGGGCCAGAAGAATCCGGTCTCCCGGGACATACTTTCCTGTAAGCAGTTCATACACAAGGATGCCGAGGGACCAAAAATCCACACTGAAATCGTGGCCTTTATTCAGAATGACTTCAGGTGCGACGTATTCAGGAGTCCCACAGAACGTCCAGGTCTTCTGCCCTGCTCTGATCTTCTTAGCAAATCCAAAGTCAACCTTGTGGGTCAAAAAGTAGGAGATGTTGTTGTTACTGGACAGTTTTACCTCAGGTTGATTGTTCTTCTTTCTAATATCTACTATAAGAACTTCTCCTACTGAGATGGATTCAATATTCTTCCTCATACAGTGGCTACTTAGATGCCGGAATGGGATCTTCAGGCACCTACCCTTGGCCGCCCCTCCTTCTCCTCCAGGCTCCCGCCTCCATCCATTTACCTCCAGCTTTCCTCCTCGGCTGGCCCTCCCCAAACCATTCACCCTGGCCAATGGGCCTCCAGGCCTCCGCCCCACGCCCTTTGGGCCAGCCCATTCGCCAAAACACCATTTGTCCCAGCTCTTTGGCCGCATGGGACAGTTAACCGCCCACCAATCGGGATCCTAGACCCAATGCATCCAAAGAGTAACAGCTGTCTTTTCCCACCAGTCCTTAGTAATTGGGATTTGACTGCAAGCACTGATTTATGCCTAAAGTTATTTAACCATGTAGTAGGGCTGGGTTGCTATTATCCTTTTCATCTTTTTCATTTTCTCATCTTTCCTACTAACTTCTCCTATTGGTATCTTATGATTTATCACTTGTTGTTTGTATCTTATAATTTACGATTGGATCTTATGATTTATGATCTATGGCCTACCACTTTGTTGTTTGTATGTACACTGAGAGCTTATGCATTAGAGACAAATTCCTTGTGTGTCCAATCTCTTGGGCAATAAAGAATATTCCTATTCCTATTCCGCATCTGAAATCCCCAATATATGTCTTTTTCACTGTATAGTTTTGATCAAACGTGAATGCTGCAGGAACTTGTTAGTGCATAGAAAATTGACAGGAAAATACATTACCAGTTTAACAAACAGTCAGGATTGTTTCTAATGAGAAATAATATGTACTGTAAATGCATTTGTGTTAGCATGTAAGTATAAATCAATATATGTCTATCCACAGTAATACTTCTTCCTAACCTTCAAGATAAAATGATCTTATTTTCAGTAGCATAGAAGTGTAAAGATATAAGATTCTTAAACTTTTGTTTTTGAATTGCTGCAATTAAAATGCAAAAAAACCTTCTCTTAGCAATGCCCCTGTAATTCTTTATATTTTTTTAAAAAAACAAAACTTACCAACTTTATATAACCCTGGGCATCCAAAATTAAATTTTCTGGTTTCAAATCCCTGTAGATTATACTCATAGAATGTAAATATTCAATAGCTTCTGTCACACAGCCAACACAGAACTTTGTAGTGGTTTCATCAAAACTACCCCTGAAAAAAGAAAGAAAAAAAGGAAGGAAGGAAGGAAGGAAGGAAGGAAGGAAGGAAGGAAGGAAGGAAGGAAGGAGAGAGAGAGAGAGAGAGAGAGAGAGAGAGAGAGAGAGAGAGAGAGAAAGAGAGAAAGGTTTCATTGTCAAATTATTTTCAACCTTTCCTCTTCCAGTCTTAATAGACTCTGAAGAGATTCAATAAAAATCATGAACATAATAAAACTGAAGAAACCATCAATAAAGTAATTCAGTGTATACCCAAAATCATCAGCTCCGTTGAGGTAAAATTATCCTCACAGCCTACAGAAGGTCAACATTGGGGTCAACATGGAGGAGAAGGATGTTGAAAGAGGGAGAATGCTTGCTTGTAAAGTTACTTATTTCCATCATCAGATGATGACGCTAATCTAAAAGGACCTTTAAGACATTAAACCTTTTCCTGTTCCCTGGGCCTCCTCAGCAGATGATATTCAAAGGGCCATCGTGATTCTGGCGTTGCTATTTAGCATTCAAGTCTAGCAGACACTGATAATCCATTTTCTCATTAATTTCTTCAGGCCTGTTTAAATTAGTGGCTATCACATCATCTGATGGAAGCAAGTGCTGTCATTTAATTATGCCCTTCCTTTAATCATTCCCCTACATTTAGTTTTAATTTAGTTTTAATGAGTGAACATTGTGAGAAGGAAAAATTGATCTACATTTTATATATCATGGATAATTTTTAATACCTGTATCATAAATTCCTTAGCTTCCTAACAAAAAACCCCAGACACTGTAGTCTTTGTTAATCCATAAGAATTTTGAATTGCCCTTTTTCAGTTTTAGATTATTGCTTTTCTGGTCTTCTAACCAATTCCAATTGTGATCTCGCCACATAGAATATATATATATATTTGTATATAATATATGTATATAATATATTTATACAAGAATATTACAGAATTGAATTGTTGAGTTTATTTCCTTCCTAATGATTCCAAGCATGGAATTGGCTTTTTTTTTTTTATAGCAATCAAACTTGAATTGTTAATTTCAGTCATCATAACTCTAACATCCATTTCTTGATCAGTCTCTAACAATCCAGATCCTGAGATATATAATATTAGGATCCAAGATTGGGAATTTCTTCCACTAGCTAGAAAAATTACTCATCAGCTTTTGCAAATACATATTGACATTTTCTTTCTCAAAAGTTCAGAAAAACAAAGTACTTTACCCTATTTTATAGTATCTTGAAATATTAATCCGGTGTTTCCTTTTGTCACTTAGAATGAAAAAACCGTTTTATGTTTTATGAATAAAATAAATTCAACGGTCAACTGTTGGGAGTAAACTCCACTCAGTAGATTTAAGGTAAAGGTAAAGGTTCTCCTCGCACATATGTGCTAGTCATTTCTGACTCTAGGGGGCGGTACTCATCTCCGTTTCAAAGCTGAAGAGCCAGCGCTGTCCGAAAACGTTTTTGTGGTCATGTGTCCGGCATGACCAAATGCCAAAGGCACACGGAACGCTGTTACCTTCCCACCAAAGGTGGTCCCTATTTTTCTACTTGCATTTTTTACGTGCTTTCGAACTGCTAGGTTGGCAGAAGCTGGGACAAGTAACGGGAGCTCACCCCGTTTCGCGGCACTAGGGATTCGAACCACTGAACTGCCGACCTTTCAATCGACAAGCTCAGCGTCTTAGCCATTGAGCCACCGCGTCCCTTCTTCAGTAGATTTAGTACCAAGTATATCTGCATAGGAACAGATTGCAGACTGAGACAAATCATTATTTCATCAACAATCCAGATTCCCACTACAAATAGTTCTCAACCTACGACCACAATTGAGCCCAAATTTTCCATTTCTAAGCAAGACAGTTGACAAGTAAGTTTTGCTCTGTTTTACAACTTGTCTTCCCACAGTTATTAACTGAACCAACAAAGTTGTCAACTTAATAACAAGGTTGTTAAGAAAACCTGGCTTCCTCCATTGACTCTGTCAGAAGGTCGTAAAAACGGATGACATGGCCCCGGATCATAAATACATGCCAAGGATCTGAATTTACAACACATGACCATGGGGATGCTGCAATGGTCATAAGTGTGAAAAACAGTCATAAGTCACTTTTTTCAGTGCCATTGAAACTTCAAACGGCCACTAAACAAATGGTTGTAAATCAAGAACTACCCTGTTTCCCCCAAAATAAGACATCCCCTGATAATAAGCCCAATCAGGCTTTTGAGCGCATGGCAATAAGGCCAAGTGCTTATTTCAGGGTTCAAAAAAATATAAGACAGGGTCTTATTTTCGGGGAAACCCAGTACCTATAATCAAACATAGTCTCATTTTTTTAAAAAACCCATTACATAAAGGACCACTGTTCAAAAAATCTCATTTGATCCATTTAGATCAACCAGTATTAACTCTTTCAGCTTGGCAATATTTTTTTCCCAGTCATGACTTCATAGCACATGTTATCCAGCTGACTGAAGGCCAAATTCTTTCAATGTTGATTCCGTTATAATGCAAATTTCCAACTTTGTAATTATGTACAATTGTATGGCTTCCACATTTTACACTCTTTTTTTTAATTTTATGACATTTTACAATGCCATTTTTTAATTTAAAAATGAATAAAATGGGCTAATAATAATAATAATGATAATAATAATAATACCTGTCCCTGAGGATGCTCCATAGCTCACCTCCAAGACAAGCTTCTAAGAGCATATAAACATATTTGTTGTCTTTGAAGGTGCGATACAACCTGAAGTGAATAAAAGAAAGAAAGAAGCAACATGCAAATAATTCTAGTTGAAGATAAAATGTATGTAACATAAGAATAATCACATTTTCTATAGCACTGCGCATGCATGGAGGAACAATTCTTTTGACACCCCCCAAAATCTAGAGACTCTGGGTAAAACGAGAACATAATATTTATTGACCCAACCAAGGTCGACATTCATAAATGATGACCTAGGATTAAAAATTTGGTGGAATAAGGTCATTTGTAGAATGACAAAATTGAGAGGTTGCATGAAATTCAGGAGAAAATGTGTCCCTTCCATAAAATTTGTTATTAAAAATCATTCTGATTCAAATCACCCATCTACAGTTGAGGATAATACAGCTAGTCCTCGACTTGCAACAGTTCATTTAATGACCATTCAAACTTACCACAGCACTGAAAAAAGGGACTTATGACCATTTTTCACACTTATGACCATTGCGGCTTCCCCATGGTCATATGATTTACATTCGGATGCTTGCCAAATGACTCACATTTATGACGATTGCAGTGTCCCGGGGTCATGTCATCCCCTTTTGTGACCTTCTGGCAAGCAAATTCAATGGCGAAGCCAGATTCACTTAACAACCATATTACTAATGTAAGAACAGCAGTGATTCTTAAATGTGGAGAGAAAAGTCGTAAAATGGAACAAACTCACTTAACAAATTTTTCACTTAACAACATAAATTTTGTGCTCAATTGTGGTCATAAGTTGAGGACTACTTGTAGTGAGCAACTGAGAAGAGACACACTTCTACCTATAGATGTTTTTTGTATGCTTATGAACCCAGAAAAATCAGAAATCTAAACTATAGGTAGTTCTCGACTTACGACCACAATCGAGCCCAAAATTTATGTCGCTAAGTGAAACATTTTTAAAGTGAGTTTTGACCCATTTTATGACTTTTCGTGCCACAGTTGTTAAGTGAATCACTGCAGTTTGTTAAGTTATTAACACAATTGTTAAGTGAATCTGATTTCCCCATTGACTTTGCTTGTCTGAAGGTCGCAAAAAATGATCACGTGACCCCAGGGACACAACAATGGTCATAAATATGAACCAGTTGCCAAGCATCTGAATTTGGATCTCGTGACCACAGGGATGCTGCAACAGTTGTTAAGTATGAAAAATGGTCATAAGTCACTTTTTTTCAGTGCCATTGTAACTTTGAATGGTCATTAAATGAACTGTTCTAAGGTGAGGACTACTGTATATAAGAGTTTGCATGAAAAGTTCTCCACTAAACACAACAACTCACTATATATGATGAGTGTTGCAAGGACAACAAATCCAGTATCCTCAAACTTTTTTCCTGTTAAGCAAAAATATATTGTCACAAGTTCACAACTCTTGAAATACAGCCCAAAAGAGAATTGCAGGTGTCCCCTGCAATAGAGAGTGACAATGAGATTCATGGTTTCTGAAAGAGTGTGAAGAAAACAGTGATGCCCCATCCAGACCTTGTCATTTTTTGCAAGATATATATTTTTTTAAAAAGAACTAGGTTTATATAAATAATTTAAAACATTACTTCACAATGAATGGCGAACAGGCTTCTTCTAGAATCTTCTTTTCGGAGTGAATATGTTCCTGTTGCTTGGTATCCACTATGTGCTTCTTCTTAATGCATTTCATGGCAAATGCTAGGTTCTCGTTCTTAACTTTCACCTGAAGTCACCAACAAAGAAAATACAGTGTCAGAATCATAAAACATGAGTTCTCTCCCTTTCTCAAGTTCTTCAGAATAACAGCAGAACAGAATTGTAAATCCAAGATTATGTGTATGTGTGTGTGTGTGTATTTATATATTATATATATATTTATATTTATTGTTTAGCCTATAGGCCCGTGATGGCGAACCTATGGCACGTGTGCCACAGGTGGCACGTGGAGCCATATCTGTGGGCACGCGAGCGTTGTCTTAGCTCAGCTCCAGCGCCAGCTGATTTTCGGAAGTTGGGAAACAGGCTGTTTCCAACCTGTGGAAGGCCTCTAGCGGGGAGAGGCGGTTTTCACCCTTCCAGGCTCCTAGAAAGCCTCTGGAGCCTGGGGAGGGCGAGAAATGGGCCTACCAGGCCATCGTGTGCTAAAAGCAGGGGGAGTGCGGGGGTCGCACACGCATGCGCGGGGGGTGGGGCGCATTGAATTATGGGTTTGGGCACACACGTGTGTGACACCCCCCCCCACGCTCCCCACGCTTTTGGCACGCGACGGCAAAAAGGTTAGCCCTCACTACTATAGGCCATATCAAGGTATAGGTTCAAACACATATTACCAATAAAGTTTTAAACAAACAATTTAAAAAGAGACTAGGCTAAAATACAATAGTTATAGGGTTAAATGCAATAATTTGATACATAAATATATCAAATAGAATAAAATGACATAAAATTATATTTCTTTATCACCCCTGCAATCTACTCCAAACAGGCCCACATATGCCGATCTCAGTCGGACCATTTTAAGCCAGACATTGTGCTGTATTAAATGTCGTTTTCAGACTCTGAAAATCCAAGATGTAATGCACCCTCCCTCAATAGATAGATAGATGATAGATAGACAGACAGATAGATAGATAGATAGATAGATAGATAGATAGATAGATAGATAGATAGATAGATAGATATTTTTAACAAAAGAGATACAAATAACAAACCAAAACAGTGACCTGGGGACTTTTCTTATATTAAATTTACAAAAGAGGCTCATTAAAACTTTGAAGAATTTTGTGAGAAGGGACAAAGAAAAAAATGAAACATCATAAGAAATGAAAGACAACCAAAGCACAAAACTGTATCAAATCACCCTCCCGATTGCAAGTCCAGAGGCTTAAACGCTAAATTCTTACGAGTTCAACTCTTCCAAATCCACCGACGCCCAGAGTTGCAACGATCTCCAGGTGCTGAAAAGGGCAGGAGGCAGGAAACTGGGTAACTTTTTCTTTCAACTGAATCATCTCCAGAGAGACATTGCGAGGGAGCCGCTCCACGGAAGAGACTCTGCATTAAAAAAAAAAATAACAAAAATAAAATGACCTATCAGGATGTCCCATCTAATTCAGCCCGCAAGTGAGAAATTCTGCAATGGTTGGTTAGCTTTTCAAAAAAACAATTTCCGAATATCCTAAAAGTTTCAGGAGGCAACTGGACTTTCTGGTTTTTTCTTTGAAGAGATTTTGCTTCTCATCCAAGAAGCTTCTTCAGCTCTGACAGGATGGTGGGGAATGATTCAGTCAGAGCTGAAGAAGCTTCTTTGATTAGAAGGCAAAGTGTCATGTCTTCAAAGAAAAAACAGAAAAGTCCAGTTGCCTCTTGAAAAAAAGCACCTTTGGGACAACCATGACCTGGATGACTGAGAAAATCTCCATAGACAAATTTCTGAATATGCCTGTGATTTGGCTTGAATCAAAGGTGCCTGCTGATGAAATGCTCAGAAACTGAATGAAAAGGTATACATCTGTTTGAGGTTCAACTCCTGGCGACTACAGGTAGTCCTCAACTTACGACCACAAGGGAACCTAAAAATTGTGTTGTTAAGTGAGAAATTTGTTAAGGGAGTTTTGCCTCGTTTTATAACTTTTCTTGCCACTTTTGTTAGGTGAATCACTGCCGTTGTTAAGTTAGTAACACGGTTGTTAAGTGAATCTGGCTTCCCCATTGACTTGGCTTGTTAGAAGGTTGCAAAAGGTGATCACATGATCCCTGGACACTGCAACTGTCATAAATGTGAGTCAGTTGTCAAGCATGTAAATCACATGACCATGGGGATTCTGCAAAAGGTCATAAATGTGAAAAATGGCCCATAAATCACTTTTTTCAGTGCCGCTGTAACTTCGGTCACTAAGCGAATTGTTATAAGTCGAGGACTACCTGCAGAAGACACACCCATTTTATTTTCTTGGCAACACTATGGAAATAGTTTGTCGTTTCTTTCTTTCTGGGACAGGGCAAGCGGCATAACATTTCAACTTGTGTATTTATTGTAGGAAAAGGTTAAGAATGGGAAACCCTCACCTTCTCATTCTTAAACCCCTCTGCTCTTAGTGTATCCTACCCCCATTTCAGAATCTATTTTGAATAAAACACTTTGAATAGAAAATAGATCTATTTTCAGACTCTAAAACCAAATTGCCTTCCTTTCTGACATGCTGCTACAAAAATCTGGCATTGTTGTGGCCCGCCAGTGGCCAGCAGAGCTGGCAGCAGATTCAGACAGTGAGGAGGTTGGGGAGGAACGTGGGCCAGTCCTGGAGTCTGGGGAAGGCTCGGATGAGGGCTCTGAGTCGGAGGCAGAGAGGGGGCCTAGGCCATCTGGTAGTTCTTTGCTGCCTCCAGAGTCTCCGGAGTCTAACATCAGCGAGGCAGAAGAACAGCGTGAGCCTGTTCCCAGTGTCTGCATGTGCAGAGCTGCCAGGAGACAGGAACAATTAAGGAAACAGGGTCGACTTGGGAGTAAGGCTTGGAGATGATTGGCCCCTCCCATAAGACATAAAAGAGAAGCGAATGGGACGTGAGCTTTTGCAGGAAGCAATTAGTTCATCTGGTCGGTAAAAGCTCTGGGAAAGTTCTGTTTGACTCTGTGCTAAGTTTGGCCTTGCCTTTCATGTGACAATTAGTTCTCTGGCAGCATTCCACGGGAGATAAGGTGGGTGTTTGTAAACACTCCCCTGAAAGACTGTTTGAGAAGCCTTTCGGACTGGGAATGACAATAATTCACAGCCGTATGAATAAAAGAGGTTTGCTGGGACTAAGATTGGGCTGTATACTTTCTAAGGAAGCCTAGGTTGGAACAGGCACAGTCCTGGGGTCCCCATGCAATCTGGCTGGTCCCGGGATCCCCAATCCCTGTGATCTAGCACTATCACTTTATGCAGGGCTTCCCCCTGTGCCAGTTGGCTTGATCCCTGATTTCGTAGGAGTATATAAAGTCTACTGCCAAAACAAAGCAGAGGTCAGCAGCATGAAATTGTCAGCAAGCCTTGCCTAGCAAAGGAGCCGTCCAGTAGGAACGAGGGCTAAGCAAATAAAGCTATAGGTAAAGTTTTCACAGAATTAAGAGAATGTCAGAATTGGAAGGGAACTTGGAAGTTTTTTAGTTTAACTCTCTGTTCAAGCAGGAAATCTTATACCAGGGATCCTCAACCCCCAGCCTGGGCCCACTACCGGGCATTCAGCCTTTTGGAACTGGGCTGCGGGAACCTGTGGGCAAGCATGCATCCTCACTCGCATGAGTGGCAGGCAAGCATGTGTGCCTGCCCTCCATTTGCTAGCTCACCGTCCCCTCTCCCTCCTGCCAGTGTGCAAAGCCAAAAAGGTTGGGGGACTCTGCCCTATCCCATTTCAGACAAATGGCTGTCCAATCTCTTCTTAAAAACCTCCAGTGTTGGGGCACCCACAATTTCTGGAGGTAAGTTGTTCCACTGGTTAATTGTTCTCACTGTCAGGAAATTTCTCCTTAGTTCTAAGTTTGCTTCTCTCCTTGATTAGTTTCCATCCGTCGCTTCTTGTCCTGCCTTCCGGTGCTTTGGAGAATAGGTTGACCCCATCTTCTTTGTGGTGACCCCTTAAGTCTATCTCAGCATCTACTTCTGTCCTACTATCACAGCACCATTGAGAGTGTCCTGACATACGGCATTCTTGCATAGTATGGGAGCAGCTCTGTAGCGGACAAAAATGCTCTACAGAGAACCATTAAAACTGCCCAGAATATCATCGGGCTCCTGTTACCAGCCCTGGACGACATCTTTGAATCTCGCTGTTTGAGAAAGTTGCATAACATTCTCAGAGACTCTTCCCATCCTGCTTACAATCTTTTTGGACTGTTGCCTTCTGGCAGAAGATACAGAACTATTAAAACTCGGACCACACATTTTCTGAATAGTTTTTATCCCAGAGCTATAACTGCACTCAACAATGAACTAAAGGGCCACCATTAGTGAGCTATTGGTCAGCATTACTTGGTCTGTTGTGTGGATGTTTGGGTGGTTTAGGGGTGGGGAATTGTGGTGGGTGGGAGTGTGTTTGGGGATTGTTATGTGTGTTGGACCTGGTCTTTGTGTGTTAAGTGAATTTCGTTGTATGGGTATACTGTGTATACACGTACAATGACAATAAAGTTATTTATTTATTTATTTAGATATTGGAAGACTGCTATCATGTCACCCCTAGTCCTTCTTTTCATCAAACTAGACATACCCAATTCCTGCAACCGTTCTTCATATGTTTTAGCCTCCAGTCCCCTAATCAACTTTGTTGCTCTTCTCTGCACTCTTTCCTCCATGACATGTTGCAATCATGTCTAGCAGACAGGGGGCTTAAGTAGAACTTAAGAGTGGAGACCTTCTTCAGGGATACTATAGAATAAATACTGGGCTTTAGTACTATAGAATCAGTACTGGGCTCAAACATCTTTGCTTTTTGGGTTAATCTAGCAACACGGGCGTCAAACTTGATCACGTCACGTGACATATCGTGACGTATTGTGAAGTTTGCTGCCTTTGTGGAGCTGGTGTCAGGGTTCCAAGGAACACCCCCAACAAAATAAAACTCCGAGGTCTGAGGTTCCTCAAAGTTCCAATTTATTAGAGATGCCATGTTGGCACATCTGGGAAAACCCGAATCTGAAAGCTTCCAGGTTTTCTCCACCCAGCTAACAGTTCACAGCCCTGCCCTGCCCCACACCCACAAGTTCATCACATTGTCCAATCAACTTTTCACATTCAACTGGATACAATCTCCAGGCAGTCTCCAGCAGATGCAGGCAACAGTGTCCTTGAATACGGAAAGTTGTTATGACTAACTTTCTACAAAAAAACCCTCCCAATTTCCCAGGCAAAACTATGTGGCAGTTAGGAAGCAAATGCATCCGGTCCGTGGGCCACCAGTTTGACATCTCTGCAGCAATGGTGGTAAATCTTGGGAGGTTTCTAGTGGAAGCAATATGTATTTGGGAATTAGCATCCTGGTGGTTTATTTATTTATTATTTATTTATTAGTTCAATTTATATGCCGCCCTCCTCCGAAGACTCAGGGCGGCTTACAATGCACTTATAGCAACAGCCTTCATTCTTTTGTATATACCTGCTTATTTAGGGCTTTTGGCCCCCCATAAGTGGTGTTTCTACAAAGTCAGTTTATTGCCCCCACAATCCGGGTCCTCAATTTATCTACCTCAGAAGGATGGAAGGCTGAGTCAACTTTGAGCCTGGTGAGATTTGAACTTGCAGTAATTGCAGGCAGTTGGCAGCTAAGTGCTACATAACAGCACTTAGTCCGCTGCACCACCAAGGCTCTTGGAATTTAGGGTGTAGGGTGAATCTCATGACGTTAATGATGAATTTATTATTTTGATTTACAGCCTGTCTTTCTAGGCATACACAGGCACTCCAGGTAGCTGTAAGAAAGGAGATGATTCAATCGCCGTTCTGGAAAGCACTGGAACTTTTTCAAAGGAGACTAAGGAGACCTGGAGCCACAAAGCAGATGTGGAAGGAACAATACATGTTTCTCATAATTTGGAAAGAAATCCTGATTCGTTTCAACGGGAAATTGAATGGTGTTTGTTGACTGCAAGGGCACCATCTCCGGGAGTGAATGGGGAGAAGGAGGGAGTCCGGTCTCTTTCTACATGCATAGAATCAAATTGTCAAGTTTCCGAAAGATGCCCTAATTAATTCATGATTCATGGGATTTCATTCTTCAAGGCATCAGGCAGAAGGTTTATGTCGCACCAAGAAGACAGTGCCTGAGGCAAAGTTGCCCTTTAATGATGTCACAACAAAGGGAAGGAGAGTGTCTTTTGTCCGCTGATTTGTGTTTCTGTCACAATAACCGCAGCTTCATGACTGATCTAACACAACAGAATCAGGTTGTTCAGATTGGCCTGTAGCATTTACAGAGGCCTTGAATTCGAAGATAACTTATCGTAAGGATGCAAGCTTGCTGTACAAATCAGGAATTCACTACAGGTAGTCCTCGACTTATGACTGCAGTTGAGCCCAAAATTCCCACTGGTAAGCGAAACATTTGTTAAGTGGGTTTTGCCCTATTTTACAACCGTTCTTGCCACAGTTGTTAAGTGAATCACTGTGTTCTGCCCCAGCTATGGACCCCAAAGAACGCAGCACACACAAAGTCCGTTCAAACCTTAGTTTACTGAATAAACCAGCCTTTTACAACAATGGCTGTTAATTAATTGCATTAACAGCCGCCAAGAATTCAAAGAATAACTGAAAACTTACTATGGTTGGCAGAATGCCCAGAAGCAATTTGCAGGAAGCTGATAAGATAAGCAAGACAAGACACAAAGATATGTGAACTAAGCTGTTCCCTGCAAATTGCTTCAGTCGGCGTTCCTCCTTAAATAGGCTAAGGGAGTAGCCAATTAGCCCCAAGCCTTACTCTCGAGGAGACCTCCTCCTGAGGAGCCACTCCTGCCTTTTGGCAGCTCTACGCACCCGTGCAAGCTTAAGGAAGCTTCTGGAGGTTCTGAAGGCTGAATCCCCGCCTCTGGCACCACATCCTCTCCAGCCTCCTCATTGTCCGACTCGAGTGCCAGCTGCACAGGCTGCTGGTGCAGCACCACATCAGCCTCCTCGCTGTCAGAATCAACTACTAGCTTCACAGGCCACGTACAGGCCACAACACACTGCACTGGTGGGTTGCTACCGGTTTGCCCCAGATTGAACAAACTGGTAGCGGCAGCAGCGGGAGGCTCCGCCCATCAGCCCGTGTGTGTGTGCCCATGAGCAAACCGGTAGCAACAGGTTTTGAAACCCACCCCTGGGTTTCAATCATTTTAGTTGTTAGGTTAGTAGCACGGTTGTTAAGTGAATCTGGCTTCCTCGTTGACTTTGCTTGTCAGAAGGTCGCAAAAGCGGATCACGTGACCCTGGAACCGTCATAAATATGAGTCAGTTGCCAAGCGTCTGAATTTTGATCACGTGACCATGGGAAGGCTACAACGGTCGTTAAGTGTGAAAAAAATCATCCTAAATCCGATTTTGTAGTGCAGTTGTAACTTTGAATGGCCACTAAATCAATTGTTGTAAGTTGAAGACTACCTATACCGGCACTGGGAAAAATAATGAGAAAACTTTAAGAGGATTAATTGGGAAAAAGGAGTTTTAAATCTTTCCATTTAAAAGAAAATCTGATGGAAGGAAAAGTGAAGCAGTCCAAAGAAATTTACAAGGTTTCCTTCCCCCTCGGATGTCAAAAATCAGGCAAATGAACCCCAGGCGTCGCCCACAGTGCTATTTAAAGTCCTGATAAAATAGCAACATTTCGGAGACGTTAAATATCAATTGCATTCTCTCTCTCCTTGGTGTGTGTGTGTGTAGCCGTGGCCTGAAATAGTAATTTGTTCAATAAAGAGTCATCCGACTTTATTATAGCTCTCAGGGCCTTTTGTGAGTTTATAGTAATGAAGCAAGAATCAAAATACTTTTCATTGGAAAACCAATGTTTATTTCTTTCTTTTCTGAGTGCCCATTTCTGTTTTTATTTCAGACCAATAAAATACAGGTAGTCCTTGACCACAACTCAGCCCAAAATTTATGTTGCTAAGCGAGACATTGGTCAAGTGAGAGCTCTGTCCCATTTTACGACCTTTCCTGCCACAGTTGTGAAGTGAACCCCTGCCGTTGTTAAGGTACCAACACGGTTGTTAAGTGAATCTGGCTTCCCTGTTGACTTTGCTTGTCAGAAGGTCGCAAGAAGGGATCATGTGACCCTGGGACACTGCAACCGTCATAAATATGAATCAGTTGTCAGGTGTCTGAATTTTGATCATGGGGATGCTGCAATGGCCGTACGTGTGAAAAATGGTTATAAGTCCCTTTTTTTTCAGTGCCGTTGTAACTTCAAACGGTCACTAAATGAATGGTTCTAAGTCGAGGACTACCTGTAATCCATTAAATTCAGAAGGACTGAAACAAGAACGAAACTAATGGGGCACTTGGCTATTTCAAGGTTTGCCCTCCAAATCTGTGACAAGTACAATGTGGGAAGTAGAATACAAACGGAGAGCAAACCCCACTCCTTACTAGCACTGATGATGTTACCTAGTTGGGCAATGAAACGTCTGAAAGAAAACAGCAAAGCTCAGGGAGCACCAAGGACCCCCTCATTTCAACCCTGACCTACAAATGTTCCCCTTTATTGAGAAATACAATTCCCAGAATTGCCACCCAGCATGGCCAAAGGTGAGGATCGTGCTGGGGGCTAAGAACTGGGGACCCTCCCTCCATCTATAATTGTTGTGAAGAATGGCCACATCTCAGGGGTGAAATGCTCCCAGTTCGGACCGGATCACCCGATCCGGTAGCGATGGAGGCGGGTGGTTCGGAGAACCGGTAGCAAAAATCCCTGCCCCCCCTCCATGCCCAGCTGAGCCGCGCGATCATCAGAGGCTTTTTTTCTTTTAAATGCCTCTGAGCCTCTGATGATCAGGCAACTCAGCTTGGATCGTCAGAGGCATTTAAAAGAAAAAAAAAAGCCTCTGCCGATCAGGCAACTCAGCTGGGATTGTCAGAGCCTTTTGAAAGCATTTTTTTACAACCTCTTCGCCGAAGAGGTTGTAGAAAAAATGGTTTTAAAAGTTTTTTTAAAAAAAAGCCACGCCCACCCTGTTACATTCCCCCCCAAGCCACGCCCACAGAACAAATTTTAGATTTCAGCACTGCCACATCTCCATGGTTTCCATCAGCATCTCCAATTGTGATGGTGCTAGCAGACAGCACAAAATGGTTATACAGAATCAAGATCATTGCTTATATCTGGAAATATACATGTTTTGTCCTTGCTAAGAGTAAAAGCATTGTATTTATAAAGTAATCCATAATATGGGACTTTTAAAAAGAAATTGTGGATCACTTACTAGAATTAAAACCGAATTATAGAAGCCTCTGTAGGAAGTGACAAGGCTGAGCCCGAAGGGGGGCTGTGGTGGGATTCAAGTAATTTAACAACAAGTAATTTCTCTGCCCTAATTATTTCTTCCAACAACCAGTTTGCCAAACTGCTCAGAAAGTTAACAACTGGTTCTCCCGAAGTGGTGTGAACTGGCTGAATCCCACCACTGAAGGAGGGGTCAAACGTGTCATTAGTCTCGAGTCCCTTTATGCTCACAAGAGATCTAAATCCAGGCTGCCTTGAATTCCACTGACTCTTATCTACTACTAATTTCCTTTGGCCGTTAGTAGTTCAGATTTCTTGTAGAGAGCTGAAGCTTGCAATAAACCCTTATATTGATTTAAATTACCTAGATTTCCTGATTTCCTCGGCTCTTGGCAGCCTCAGTGGGTCTGCACTGGGGGACGGCACAAATTCCTTGTATTAGGTGAGTCTGTTTGGTTTTAGGGGAAATGACTGGCGGGATGCTGGACTTAAGATTGCCAACAAGACCCCAGAGAACATTTTATACCTGCATGTTTAAGAGTTTCCTATCCTCTTGTATGGGGAAATCCAAATTGAACATATTTATGTAAAGAGCAGAAGGTGAACTGAGGACGCTGAATTATGGAAAAGAGGTTGGAAGCTTGAAAAATTGCCAAGTAATTGTCACTTACATGCACTATGGAGACAGAAGGGCCCAGATATGAAATTACAGCTGGTTTAGAATGTGTCACTGCTGAACAATTCTAGCAGAAAACATTTGGAAGAAAAGGGCAGCATCTTATATTCATTAAAGCAAAATCTTGTATTTACTATCATTCTAAGGGTTCGCTAAAACAAAAACTCCATGCATGCTAATTTTCTTCAGCTTCAAAGTGTTGGCCAAAAGGTTTGCCAAACTAGCAACACCAGAGGTGGAAGGATTTCTTCTGCATTTTTTTTTTATAACTCCGCTGGTTCCAATTCCATCTAACACAACCTTGCTGAGATTACCTTCCTTACAGTTTCAGAAAAAAGTTGGGAAGACTTACTGGGCGTGCCTTTTTTCATCGTCTCGAGCCAAAGTTGCTACATAACCCACGAGGTAGGCTTGGAGTTCTTCAAACGTTCCAACTGTTTGGTTAAAAGTTCTGCAAACACAACAGAAGTAAGTCAAAACATTAGCCTTTTGCTAGGAGAAAAAAAAATACGGCAGCAGCCTCCTGTGCAGATACAAAGACTTTAGAGCAGTGGTCCCCAACCCCCGGTCCACGGACCGGTGCCGGGCTGTGGAGTACCTGGCACCGGGCCGCGCAGCAGCCGGGGGACATGAACGCTGCAGCGCAAAGGCTCCTGGGCCGTGCGCAATGGGCCGTGCGCAAAAGCTCCTGGGCCGTGCCCCCACCCCTGCGCGCGCTCAGCGGGCCGCGGCGATAAAAAGGTTGGGGACCACTGCTTTAGAGGATAATTAGAACTGCAGAAAAAACAATGGCTACCACCCTGCCTTCCATGGAGAACCTGTATACTGCACGAGTCAAAAAGAGGGCTGTGAAAATATTTATAGACCCCTCACATCCTGGACATCAATTATTTCAACTCCTACCCTCAAAAGGACGCTATAGGGCACTGCACACCAGAACAACTAGACACAAGGACATTTTTCCCCCCAAATGCCATTACTCTGCTTAACAATTAATTCCCTCAACACTGTCAAACTATTCACTAAGTCTGCATTACTATTAATCTTCTCATCATTCCTATCACTCATCTCCTCCCACTTATGACTGCATGACTGTAACCTTGTTGCTGGTATCCTTATGATTTATATCGATTGTTTCCTAGTATGATTCGATTGCTTATTTGTACCGTATGACTATCATTAAGTGTTGTACCTTATGATTCTTGACGAATGTATCTTTTCTTTTATGTACACCGAGAGCGTATGCCCCAAAGACAAATTCCTCGTGTGTCCAATCACACTTGGCCAATAAAGAATTCTATTCTATTCTATTCTATTCTATTCTATTCTATTCTATTCTATTCTATTCTATTCTTCTATTTTCCATAAACTGTAGTCAGCCCAAAGGTGTTTTTCAAAAGGCAACTGGACTTTCTGGGTTTTTTTCCCTTGAAAACATTTCACTTCTCATCCAAGAAGCTTCTTCAGTTCTGGGAAAAAAAACCCAAGAAAGTCCAGTTGCCTTTAGAAAAGCATCTTTAGGACATCCATGACCTGGATGATTGAGAATCTCCACAGACATATAGCCGGCCCAGCCATTGGGAAGTCAGCCTGTCGGTGATAGGGGGCTGGTGAAGGCTGATTTATATTATACTTGCTAGTAGATTTTTCCCAGTTAAATACAGAAGTAGGGGTGGTATAACCTGTGGCCTTCCAGATGTTAAATGTGCTAGCTAGCCTGGTAACTGTTGAAGGGAGCTGGAAAACAGTCCACCAACATCTGAAAAGACCTAATCATCTGCTTTTACACAGGTGATACTTATATTTTCATTTTAGATAGCCATGTCTTGGGATCCCTGGTGGTGCAGTGGTTAGAATGTAGTATTGCAGGCAAACTCTGCCCACAGCCTAGAGTTCGATCCTGACGGGTTCAAGGTTGTCTCAGCCTTCTCTCCTTCTGAGGTCGGTAAAGTGAGGACCCAGATTCTTGGGGGCAATGTGCAAATAATGTTTCAACATTGTAAACTACCCAGAGCGCGCTGTAAAGCATTATGGGGTGGTATATTAAGTCTCAATGCTATTGCTATTTTCTTTTTGTACCCAACTTGTCCCTTTTTTATAACATACTACCTAAGGTCTTCCATAAGAGCCTTGGTAGTACAGTGGTCTAAGGCACCCTGTTATTAAGACCAGCTGCCTGCAATTACTGCAGGTTCGAATCTCGCCAAGGCTCAAGGTTGACTCAGCCTTCCATCCTTTCTAAGGTAGGTAAATTGAGGACCCAGTTGTGGGGGCAATAAGCTGACTTTGTATAAATATAAAAAAGAATGAAGGCTATTGTTTAGCGCATTGTAAGCCGCCCTGAGTCTCCGGAGAAGGGCGGCATATAAATCTAAATAAAAATTTTAAAAAAAATTGATATTCCACAAATATGGCGGACTGCAAGATCCAGAATTCCCAACCAATAAGGCAAAAGGTAATCTAGCACATATCATAGAGGCAGGGTGGATCTGATTTAAATCAAGTCGATTTAAATCGTAATTTTTAAAGAGCCGCTCGCAGTGGCTCCTCCTCTGACCAGCTATTGACTCACCAATAGTCCCAATATTGCAGAATCTACAGCCTCATGCTACATAACTAAGCTCCATTTCATGCTGAATAAACTAAATTATTAATGTATCTTAAATAGAAAACTATCTTTCGATAGATTTTTTATTCCAAAACCATTTTATTAAAATAAATTTGATAAAAATTAAAAAAAAATCTGATTTAAATAAAAAAAAATCCTTTTTAAAAAAAAATCATCAGTTTTTTTTATCCACCCTGCACAAAGGGTAAAGCTGGGTTAATGCTTTAACCAAGACATGGTTTGTGTTAACTATGTTTAGTTGACTAAGGCCCAAAAGCTGTTCAGCAACACAGTCAGTCAAAGCCAAACAAACTTAGCATGACTTGTGAACCCAGCCACAATTATAACAACAATCATAGTGTAACAGTAGCATCAGCAGCTGCTACTGTACAGTGCAATGAATAAATAGAACAATATTTCTAAGGTCTGGCCTTTTTGATGCCATGATTAAAAAGAAAATCACCCACAGCAGTCACTGCACATGGCTGCAATAAAACTAATTCTCCGAACAATCCAACTACACCTTTCAAAGGTGAGGAACATTGCAGGCAATTATCAGTCTATGACAGACCCAATCAACTTGGGATCTACAAAACTGAACTCAGATCTACAGCTGTATAAAGAACTTGATAATCTGTTAAACTACTGAAGTTCGCAGATGACACAACAGTGATCGGTCTCATTCGAGACAATGATGAATCCGCATACAGACGGGAGTTTGAACAATTAGCCTCGTGGTGCGACCAGAACAATCTGGAACTGAACACACTCAAAACCGTAGAAATGGTGGTGGGACTTTAGGAGAAACCCTCCCATACTTCCACCTCTCACAATACTAGACAACACAGCATCAACAGTAGAGACCTTCAAATTTCTAGGTTCTACCATATCTCATGACTTAAAATAGACACCCAACATCAAAAATGTTATTAAAAAAGCACACCAAAGAATGTTCTTTCTGTGCCAATTTAGAAAGCTCAAACTGCCCAAGGAGCTGCTGATCCAGTTCTACGGAGGAATTATTGAGTCTGTCATCTGCACCTCTATAATTGTCTGGTTTGGTTCTGCCACCCAACAAGAGAGACACAAACTTCAGAGGATAGTAAGAACTGCAGAAAAACCAATTGCTACCAACCTGCCTTCCATTGAGGACCTGTATACACCACGAGTCAAAAAGAGGGCTGAGAAAATATCTCAGCATCCTGGACGTAAACTGTTTCAACTCCTACCCTCAAAATGACACTATAGAGCACTGCACATCAGAACAACTAGACACAAGAACAGTTTTTTCCCGAATGCCATCACTCTGCTAAACAAATAATTCCCCCAACACTGTCAAACTAGTTACTAAGTCTGCATTACTATTAATCTTCTCATTGTTCCTATCATCCATCCCACTTATGACTGTATGACTGTAACCTTGTTGCTGGTATCCTTAAGATTTATATTGACTGTTTCCCTATGACTATCATTAAGGGTTGTACCTTATGATTCTTGACAAATGTATCTTTTCTTTTATGTACTCTGAGAGCGTATGCACCAAGACAAATTCCTTGTGTGTCCAATCACACTTGGCCAATAAAGAATTCTATTCTATTCTATCTATTCTTTAAAAATCATCATTTTCTCTTTGCCTAGACTGCAAAAAAAAAATCAAAGGCGCTTGAGAAAGACTAAATGAGCCACATTAAAGTTATTTTAGATAGGTTTTTTTTTCAGTTGCACTTAAGATTCCCCGGAAGATATATAATCAACAGTAACATTACATTTAAAAACCATATAAATGCTAACAAAGATCAAAGAACAGAAAGTGTGGCCTTGGTAAAATCAATACTGTCCAATTAAGTACCAAAATACCATTCAACTCAAAACAGAGGTAACCCTCTGCTGAAATGCTTGAGTAATGTTTTAAAATACTGTATTGCTTAGCATGGGTTACAATTCATTTTTTAATTCACACTGTTTTTCATTTTCATCCTGTTAATATGGCTTGAGGCTCACTGGAGTATAACTTAGATATTTATACAGTTCCTGTTATTACAGTCTACTCCATATATTTGAAGGAACAAATTCCTGCCTTTATAAATATACAAAGCAGCTAACTGCTCTTCAAGGTCTCACTGTATGCAGGAGTCACTGTATTAAAAAGTCAATTAAAATTTGAAAATTAGAGACGGTTGGCTGCCTCAGGAATTCTCATAAAAAGGCCATATTTCCCCATCCCTTATCTAGTTGAACAGGGATGCAGTAAACAAGAACTGTTCCATTCCTATTAAAGTACCTTTGAGACAGCTATGACCTGAATGACTGAGAATGTCCACAGTCATTCCTATTGTAGCCACTGTTTTCCAAAATAACTACCATATTTTTCGGAGTATAAGATACACCTTTTTCTCTCCTAAAAGGGGGTGAAAATTTGGGTACGTCTTATACACCAAGTGTAGCCCCGCCCACCCATTGGCCCCCACCCTTTGGCCGCTGCCTCCCAGCAGTTTACCTCCTTGCAGCAAACTGCAAGAAGAAACAGCTCCTTTCTGCTTCAGCATAGCCTAATTAACACAAGTTGATTGGATCGGCCTCCCGACTTTCAGCTGTTTTGCTCTCAGCTGTTTTGCTGTGGGCCTCTGCTGCTTGCTGCAAGGAAGTAAATTGCTGGGAGCTGATTTTTTTTTCTTGTGCTAATCAATATGCTGAAAACGAAAATGAAAGTAAAGCAGGCTGTTTGCTGTTTGCTGCAAGGAGACAAAATTGCTGGGAGGCAGAGGCAGATTTCTTTTTATTGTTTTCCACACCAAAAAAGGTAGGTGCATCTTATAGTCCGGTGCATCTTATACTCTGAAAAATATGGTACATCTGTTTTTTCCTTTATTTCTCCTTTTTTTGTGCCTTCAAGTCTTGGTGACTGCCAGGAAAAGTCCCAGCAATTTTCTTGGCAAGGTTTCCAAAAGTGGTTTGCCATTGCATTCTTTCTAGTCTTTCTTGGGCAGTGTTGGTGAACCTTTTTAGCACCGAGTGCCGAAATGGGAGTGCGTGCGCGGGGGAGCACCGGAAATTAGAAGAGCAGCTCCCTGGCATGCACGCATGGGAGCGCCGGAAACCAGAAGTGCAATTCCCTGGCGTGCAGGCATGCACCAGGAAGATGAGCTTCCGGTTTCAAAAATGCGCATGTGCACCCGTCACTTGGTCTTCCGGTTTCTGGGCATGAAGACCAGCTGGCCAGCGCACATGTGCACACTGGAAACCGCAAACTCAGCTTCCCGGCACGTGCATGCATGCCAGGGAGCTGCTCTTCCAGTTTCTGGTGCTCCCACATGTGCGAAGATCAACTGGCTGGCGTGAACCTGGAAGAGCAATGGGCGACGGCTTCTTTTTTTAAAAACTTCCGGCATGTGTGGCATAGGTTCGCCATCACTGTTCTAGAGTGACTCACCAGAAGCCAAAGAGCTGGTTTTATGCTTAAGGCAGGATTAGAACTCACAGTCTCCTGGCTTTATCCTGGTACCTTAACCATTGCACCAAACTGCCTTTCTTTCCCCTTTTTTTGCTTTACTTGAAATATTTCAGTGTTCACAACTTTGGAGATTTTCTTTAGTCACTAATGAAGCAACCAAAGCATGCCACTCTGCAGTAATTAAAATCTTTGATGATTCAAATGGGGAACTGAATGTTCTTAGTTGTTGTTTTTTTAAAATCCTATGAAGTATCCCCACAGTATATCTATGGGGTTAGAAGAGATATCATCATCAATCATCAGCTTAATTACATTCCCCCCCCCCGCCCCCACTTCCTAACACAAGCATATCTTGGCAACAAAAAACTTGCTTTTTTGCAGCTTCAGGACAAGACATAAAGTACTGTAAACACAAACAACTTCGGGATCTTGCGACATCATGTTGCAATGCAGGCCAGAGTGGTGGTTCCATGATGTATTGACAGGTCTCTGAGCTTGGTTGGGGCTTTTTGGCTGACGTTTCATTACCCAAACGAGGTAATCTAGGACTAGCACTGATGATGTTACCTAGTTTGGTGATAAAATGTCTGCAAGAAATCAACCAAGCTCAGAGAGCACCAAAGAGTCCTCATTTCAACTCTGAGCTACAAATATTCTCCTTTATTGGTAGCGGTAGCAATAGCACTTAGATTTATATACCGCTTCATGTGCGTGCCTTCTGCGCATGTGCCTGGCTTCAAAACTGTGCCTAAACAGAACAGCATAGAGCCGGGGCGGGGAGGCGGGACCACTCACGATCTCCGCTACCGGTTCGCCTGAACCAGTACGAACCGGCTGAATACCACCTCTGCATAGGAGGCTGAGTCAACCTTGAGCCCGTCAGGATCAAACTTCTGGCTGTGGGCAGAGTTAGCCTACAATACTGCATTCTGTATTATTGGGTTATTGGGTAAACCTGATCTATTGGGTTTTTTTCCCCTTTCTCTTCAAAGATCATTCGCTTGGCTGTTTTGCTACCCTCCCCCTAATGTCCACGTCCTCCAAATTTAGGCTGGGAAAAAGAAGAGAAGACAACTCAGAACAATTGCATTCTTGATGTATCGGTGAATAGGAAAAGCTCAGGGGTGGGTTCTACTTACTTTTACTACTGGTTCGGAATGGGATTGCATGCACAGATCACCGATGACGACATCCAGGATGGTGGGCGGGGCCTCCCACCGGTTTTACTACCGGTTCTTGCGAACCGGGGGCAACCCACCCACTGGAAAAGCTGCTGGAAAGAAGACGGTGCTACAGGAAGGGAATACTTACTCTCTGTCAATAACAAGGCACTCCACGTCATTTTCATCTGCAATTATATTAGCAGACCTGACATCATCACTGTAAACAGAAATATATCCGTTGATTTTAGGTAGATAAGAAGAGTAAGTCACAGACCAGATGGCAACTTAGATTTACGCTATAATCCTGTACAGGTAAGTCCTGGACTTACGACCATAATTGAGCCCAAAACTTCCACTGCTAAGCAAGACAGTTGTTAAGTGCGTTTCACTCCATTTTACGACCGTTCTTGCTACAGTTGTTAAGTGAATCGTTGCAATTATTAAGTTAGTACTGTGCCTATTAAGTGAATCTGGCTTCCCCAATGATTTGGCTTGTCAGAAGGTCTCAAAAGGGGAATGCATGACCCCGGGACACAGCAATTATCATGTTGCACGGTTGCCAAGTGTTCAAATTTTGATTGCATGAACACATGGGGATGCTGCAACGGTCATTAGTGTGAAAAACGGTCAGAAATTGCATATTTAAGCACTGTTGTAGCTTCAGTTGCAAAACTGTTGTAAGTTGAACACTATCTGATTACACTTATTAACAGTCTGTTTCCGTGGTGAAATGCAAAATTTGTTACTACCAGTTCTGTGGGCGTGGCTTGGTGGTGGGGGGGTAAGGTGACTGGGTGGGCATGGCCATTTTTTTTTTTTTTACTTTTAAAACCATTTTTTTCTACAACCTTTTAGGCTGAAGAGGTTGTTAAAAAATGGTTTTAAAAGCCTCTGACGATCCCAGCTGAGCCGTGTGATCATCAGAGGCTTTTTTTTTTTTACCTTTAAAAGCATTTTTTCGGCCGAAGAGGTTGTAGAAAGAAAGCTTTTAAAAATTAAAAAAAAAAAAACCTCTGATGATTGCGCGGCTCAGCTGGGCATGGGAAGGGGGGCAGGGATTTTTGCTACCGGTTCTCCGAACCACCCGCTGCCATCGCTACCGGATCGGGCGATCTGGTCCAAACCGGGAGCATTTCATCCCTGGTCTGTTTCCCTTGAGCACAAAACTTACTTCTAAAACTATGCCTGTAGGTTTATTACAAGGAACTAGATACTCAAATGCCTGTGCATAACCTTGGTTTTCTATTGTATCTTTAAAAATCTGCTGTATCTTTGCAAATCTCTTTAACAATGATTTTCGGATGAAGTAGGCAAGCTAATTTGTTACCTAAGTAGGCATTATCTATTTGTCCAAATGCCACTTCAAAGTTTAAATCCTCCCATTATTACTATCCCTGCTGTTTCCTCTGTTCAAAGGGACTGTTGACACCTAACAACCAATTCATCATCTCGGCAGGTTCTCTGCATCTGTGCTGCTAAATGTTCCTCATACGGATAATTTTAACACAAGCTTGTGATGCTTTTTTTAAAAATTTCACTTCACTGTTGATTCTTCCTCTATACTAAAGCAGTGTTTCTCAAATAAAATAATATATTTTTTTTTGGACTCAGCATTGTCCTGAATGCATTCGTGCAGCGGTGAAATGGATTTAGTGAGATTTTTTTTTTTGTTGGTTTAGAGTAACGCTTCTCAAACTTTTTTTTTTTTTTTTTTTTAAAGGCAGTGTTTAGGTTGCTGGGCTAGAAGACGGTAAGTTCTAGTTCTGCTCTAGGTATGAAAGGCAGCTGAGTAACTTTAGGCCAATCACCAGGAGAGGGTGAGTTCTAGTCCTGCCTTAGGCATGAAAGTCAGCTGAGTGACTTTGTGTTCTGCCCCTGCTCTGGATTTCTGAGAATACTGACACACACCAACGGTCCTTATCAAATTTATTAAGTAGGAAGAATAAACAAGACCAGCAAAGCCCAGAAAACAAGATATGATAAACCAAAATACTCTGATAATAAATATGAGTTGTTTCCAGCAAGAAAGCACTAGCTGAGTGCGACTTAAATAGGCTAAGGGAGTGGCCTATTATCCAGCTGAGTGACTCTGGGCCAATCACCAGGAGACTGTGAGTTCTAGTCCTACCTTAGACCTGAAAGCCAGCTGAGTGACTTTGAGCCAATCACTGGGAGATGGTGAGTTCTAGTCCTGCCTTAGACCTGAAAGTCAGCTGGGTGACTTTGAGACAATCACTGGGAGATGGTGAGTTCTAGTCCTGCCTTAGACCTGAAAGCCAGCTGAGTGACTTTGAGCCAATCACTGGGAGATGGTGAGTTCTAGTCCTGCCTTAGACCTGAAAGCCAGCTGAGTGACTTTGAGCCAATCACTGGGAGATGGTGAGTTCTAGTCCTGCCTTAGACCTGAAAGCCAGCTGAGTGACTTTGAGACAATCACGGGGAGATGGTGAGTTCTAGTCCTGCCTTAGACCTGAAAGCCAGCTGAGTGACTTTGAGACAATCACTGGGAGATGTGAGTTCTAGTCCTGCCTTAGACCTGAAAGCCAGCTGAGTGACTTTGAGACAATCACTGGGAGATGGTGAGTTCTAGTCCTGCCTTAGACCTGAAAGCCAGCTGAGTGACTTTGAGCCAATCACTGAGAGACGGTGAGTTCTAGTCCTACCTTAGACCTGAAAACCAGCTGAGTGACTTTGAGCCAATCACTGGGAGACGGTGAGTTCTAGTCCTGCCTTAGACCTGAAAGCCAGCTGAGTGACTTTGAGCCAATCACTGGGAGATGGTGAGTTCTAGTCCTGCCTTAGACCTGAAAACCAGCTGAGTGACTTTGAGCCAATCAGTGGGAGATGGTGAGTTCTAGTCCTACCTTAGGCATGAAAGTCAGCTGGGTGACTTTGAGACAATCACCATGAATTCTAGTCCCGTCTTAGATATGAAAATCATCTGAATGACTCTGTGCCAATCACCAGGAGACAGTGAATTCCACCTTAGACAAGAAAGCCACGGGGATGAATATGGGGCCGTCGTGACGGCCCCATATTCAATTCATCTCACCCAGTGGTGGGATTCAATTTTTTTTACTACCGGTTCTGTGGGCGTGGCTTGGTGGGCATGGTAGGGGTAGGATACTGTAAAATCTCCATTCCCTCCCCACTCCAGGGGAAAGTTACTGCAAAATCCCCTTTTCCTCCCGGGACTTGGGGGGCAGAGAATAGATGGGGGCGTGGGCAGTCAGAGGTGGTATTTACCAGTTCTCTGAACTACTCAAAATTTTCGCTACCAGTTCTCCAGAACAGGTCAGAACCTGCTGAATACCACCTCTGATCTCTCCAGGTTGTTGTTGTGAGAAAATAGGGGGAGGAAGGAATATTATGTATGCTTGCTACCTTGAGTTACTTATACACTAAATGAATAAAGGCAAGAGAAAAAAATCAAATCATTAAATCAACAAAAAATCTCAAAAATCATTTCACTGCTGCATGTACTGTAGGCACACTAGACTATGGTTGGTTAGTAAGTCAAGAATTGGCTTGTGCCCATGTATGAGAGCAACTCCTCGGAAAAATCCATCAACTGCAATGACCAGACGCAGAAAAGTCAGCATACAGTAACCAAAATAGACAATTTGGATGGAAGTGATCATGGGGGGAAATGATAGAATGGATGCTCACCAGGGTGAAATCCTACTGGTATGGACCGGTTCGGACGAACCGCTAGGGATTATGGGCATCAGTTCGCCAAACTGGTAGTAATTACCCCTCCTTGGCCCCACCCACGCCCAGCCAGTTGCCGCTCACTTCTTCCGGCTGCTCGATATTCCACAGAATTCAATGTTAAATGCAGCAGAGAGAATGCTAACTTTTCTTCCTCCATTCAGAATGGAGCTGCTGCAGCCTGTCCCTTTAAGGTACCTTTAAAAAAATTCCCCCACCCGTTCTGTGGGCGTGGCTTGTTGGGAGGTCATGTGACTTTGTGGGCTGCTGCTCCCTTTATGGTTCCCACCTGCCCCCCCCAGGAGGGAGGGGGCCAGGAGGGAACCATAAAGGGAGCAGCAGCTCCGTTCCGAATGGAGGGAGAAAAGTTAGCATTCTCTCTGCCACAGAATTCACTGTTAAATGCAGCAGAGAGAATGCTAACTTTCCTCCCTCCATTCACAATGGAGCTGCTGTAGCCTGTCCCTTTTAAGGTACCGGTAGTCCCTAGGAGGGAGGGGGACAGGGGGGAGCCGCTGGAATGGAGCCGTTTTCGTGAAAGGCAGGAAAATAGGGAAGGGGATTTTCCTGCCTGTCGTCCATTCCTCAATGTCAGCACAGACTGAGGGAAGGATGGTAGGCAGGAATATTCCCCTTCCCATTTTCCTGCCATTCGCGACAAGGAGTGGCTGGGAGAGGAGGGGCCGGTGAGGAGCCCCTCGATGTGAGTGATGTTGAGTTGGCCACGCCCACCCAGTCACATGACCTCCCCAACAAGCCACGCCCACAGAACCGGTAGGGGAAATTTTTTATCACTCTTTCAATCATCTATGAATTATAATACTACCGTAGTTAATTCAGGGGTATCCAACCTTGGCAATTTTAAGACTTGTGGACTTCAATTCCCAGAATGCCCCAGCCAGCCATGCTGGGCATTCTGGGAGTTGAAGTCCACACATCTTCAAGTGCTCAAGGTTGAGAAACATTGAGTTAATTTCTTTTTTCTTTTTTAAAAAAGAAATTATTTCAGTGTTTCTCAACTTTGGGCGCTTATGTCCTTATCTTGTCTTCTCACCCCTGTTCCATTTTGAGCTCCTCAAATTTTTAAATAACAATGGAAGTGAATGTGAATGCTTCCAAGTGAGAAATAATTTTAAACAAACCTGATCAAGGCTTTTTCTCCGAAATAATCTCCTTTCTGCAGCGTTTTAATCAACTGAGGCTGGGTTTGCCCTTCTGGGGTCTGGGTAACCTTAACCTAGGAAATGAAGACCCATTAATTACTTGTCAAAAATAAATACAATATACTTAATAGACATACTTCATCCTTAACATTCATCATAATGATCCATTAAGATCAATGATCTTTATCAAAATGGTCCATCTAGAAAGCCGGTTGGTCTAGTAGTAAAATCACAGGGTTAGAAAGCAAGAGACCATGAGTTCAGAAGTTGTACTTTAGCCAAGGGATGTGGTGCTCAGTGGCTAATACATTGAGCTTGTTGATCGAAAGGTCGGTAGTTCAACGGTTCGAATCCCCAGTGCCGCGTAACAGGGTGAGCTCCCGTTACTTGTCCCAGCTTCTGCCAGCCTAGCAGTTCAAAAGCATGTAAAAAATGCAAGTAGAAAAATAGGGACCACCTTTGGTGGGAAGGGAACAGCGTTCCGTGCGCCTTTGGCGTTTAGTCATGCTGGCCACATGACCACGGAGATGTCTTCGGACAGCGCTGGCTCTTCGGCTTTGAAACGGAGATGAGCACTGCCCCCTAGAGTCAGGAACGACTAGCACATATTATGCGAGGGGAACCTTTATCTTTAGCCATGAAAACCAACTGGGTGACTTTGGGCCTGTTACTCTCTGTCATCCCAACCAGCCTCACAGGTTGTGAGGAAAATAAGGAGGCAAAAAGCGAGATATGTTTGCCGCCTTGAGTTATTTGTAAAAATGATAAAGATGAGAAATAAATAAATTAAAAATAAAAATAAAGTGATAGAGCCAGAAAATTGGGTATTTTTTATCATGGCGAGTTCCAACGGGATTTTACAACTCAGGGCTGGACTTTGGGAAAGCAGAGACAAGGATCTGAATCACAGACTTTTAAATATTGGCTACAACTGAATGTAAGAATCTCTTGTGGTTGTCCCTTCTTAGTGATAGGCTGCAATCAATTCTCTTGAAGTCTCTTGGTTGAGGCAAGGCATTCTTTCTGGGACATTTTTGGCACCAGAGTCAGAGAGTGCCAGAGCTAATATCAAACAAAGAATGAGGGATAACAATTGGATGTGGCATGGGTTTCCAAGCTAGTATAATTTGAAATGAATCAATTGTTCTCTGAAGCTCGCAGATTATTGAGTTAATATCAGTTCCAATTATAGAAAACCTTCGTGATGGACAGGTTTTTTTGCAAAAACACCGAAAGAGATTTTGTCCTTGTAGCTCTCTAGATTGAACCAACAAAACAGGTCCATCCTAAGCTGTTTTGTTTCGTAATGATATTTGGCACTTTCACATTGCTTTGCTTCCAAAGTCACCCTAATGTTATCAAGAGGTGTCACAAAGCATTTTTTTGCTTAGAGATCAGACCAGACTGAGAGACATAAACAGTATAAAGGTAGCCAAACGTTGTACTTATCTGCCCAGTGAATGGCACTTATTATATACCGCTTCGCAGTGCTTTACAGCAGCGGTCACCAACTGGTGGTCCGTGAACCACTGGGGGTCTGTGAGAAAATTTTGGTGGTCTGCAGAAGGCCCCTGGGCTGAATACATGCAATGAACATTTGTGTTGCTGCAGAGGGGAGCAGAGGAGAGCAGAGGGGGAGACTCCCCTTCGGGGTCTTCTTGTTTATTTTATTTATTTTATTTTATTTGTATACTGCCCTTCTCCAGCAGGACTCAGGGCGGTGAACAGCCGAGATAAAACAGAGCATACAAAATTTAAAAAACAATTTAAAAGGTAATTAAATAATTTCGGCCCACAATTTAAAACAACCCAATTAAAACCAATTTCAAATTAAAACTGAAACGGATGGGATCAAGCCAGCCCGGCTAGGTGAAATAAATGAGTTTTCAGGGCCCGACGAAAAGTCCGGAGGTCTGGTATCGTGCGTATCTCTAGGGGGAGGTCGTTCCAGAGGGCGGGTGCCGCCACAGAGAAGGCTCTCCCCCTGGGGGTCGCCAGCCAACATTGTCTGGCGGACGGCACCCTGAGGAGGCCCTCTCTGTGCGACCCACCCGCTTGTGTGGGTCGGAGGGGGGCAGAAATTTTGACTTGGGGTCTGCTTCAGCCTCCTGGTGAGGGGCTTTGGGCGAAGGCTAGAAGGAAGTGCTGCTGGTGGTGAAGAGCCAGAGGGCCTCGTTCCAATGGGACTGCATCATGGCCTGGAACTGGCTGACCATCTCAGCCCACTGAGCCTCCAGGCGCCGGTACCTGGCCTTGCACTCCCGCAGGTCTTCCCTCTGCTTGGAAAGCCTATGCTCATAGTCCTCAGTGAGGGGCTTCTGCTGAGCCTCCTTCTCAGTCAGATCCAATTTGAACTGAGCTGTTTTGCCAACTCTTTCTCGTGGTGGCTGCCAGGTCCAACAACTGCTTCCTGTTGAGGCCCTAAGAGCCCGGGTCAGGAGGTGAGGAGTGGCTGGGTGGGGAGGGGCAAGTAGAGGCCAATGAGACACCCCTCGATGTGAGCGACATCGAGTTGCCCACGCCCACCCAGTCACATGAGCACCTAGCCACGCCCACCAGCTGGTCATTGGGCAGATCATATTAGTGGTCCGTGGGATTTAAAATTATGAATTTAGTGGTCCCTGAGGTCCAAAAAGTTGGTGACCCCTGTTTTATAGCACTCTCTAAGCTGTTTACAGTGGATATTTTCCCTCAACAATCTGGGTCCTCATTTTACAGACCTTGGAAACAACAGTCAACCACTTAATAGCCAGCCATCAACACCCCAATCAACAACTAAAAAAAACACACACTAAATCAGGCACCACATAAATACTATGTATAGAATAGCCCAAAACACACATTCTGGTGAGAGAGAGAAGTTCCCTGAAGATGGGCTCCAGCACAAGTCCAAAAGCTTGGAAGACTAAACTTCTGACCCAGATTAGATCCTGCAATATTATCTTGGGACACGCATATTTCCCTTCATTCACTAGGCTATCAATTGCAGCTACTTAGATTTCATTGAAATGGAATAAAAAAAAAACCTCCTGATGGTAATGTTTGTACAGTAATGAATTGGTCTATTATGTAGGTTAGGGTTTCTCTAGCTTTGGAGGCGTTTAAAAAGGCCAACAACCACTTTTCATGGATTGTTTAATTGGATTTCCTGAACATCGCAGGGGGTAGACTAGATTCTCAAGATTCCTTTTAACTCTACAATTCTACGACAAATGAACTTCAAAAAGCCCATTTGTCTCCAAATGTGACTGTAGGAGAAATGTATTCAATACATTAGGGAGTCATCTTATTAATTATTAAAATATGTAAATGAGTTTAAAGACTTATTTATCTTTATGGATTGGATACATAAAAATTAGTAGTAGTTGAGGCATGTTTCTAGCTTTTAAGCAAATCTGATATCCACTCTCACTCCCCTACGTTAAAATATCTTACAAATACTAGTGCTACCGTTCCAGCTTGCAACAATCCAGACAATCATTAAATGGCAGCAAAGAGACTTTTCAATAACTTTTTCTTGCCATCAACTCTGGATTTTGGCAGCCCACATATGGTAGCAAATATATAGCTTATTGTCTCGGCTTCCAGATTCTGCAAATATTGTTTAGCAGAAGCCAAGAAGAACAGATCCCTGTAAGCAGCCAGCATAAGTGTTTATTTCTAGAGCTTGCCAACTGGTTACCATCTGTCTCTTTTCGTGCATGATCTATTTGTTCTCCAATAGTTAATGCAGAAATGTTTTTTCATTAAGTCTCCCCCCCCAACTGCCCCTGCATAAGAAAAAGGAATTATTTCTTTCTGAGGTTTTTTTGTTTTTTCAAGTGCTGCTTTTGAAAGCTTTGGCTGAAATCCAAAGAACTATTTTAGTCATGTTTAAAGACAGGGAATATCCAATTGAATTTTGACCATCCTCCTTCATCATATTTCTACTGCAGACCTCTTTAAAAAGGTGCTATTGTTTTCTTGGGTGCTGCACAAGTTGTATTATATCACATTTGCTTTTAGCCATCTAACACGTGTTTATCTAACTAGATAAAATATCTTTCTAGGACCCGGTGGCTCAGTGGCTAAGACGCTGAGCTTATTGATCGAAAGGTCGGCAGTTCAGCGGTTCGAATCCCTAGTGCTGCGTAATGGGGTGAGTTCCCGTTACTTCTCCCAGCTTCTGCCAACCTAGCAGTTCGAAAGCACGTAAAAAAAAATGCAAGTAGAAAAATAGGGACCACCTTTGGTGGGAAGGGAACAGCGTTCCATGCGCCTTTGGCGTTTAGTCATGCCGGCCACATGACCACGGAGACGTCTTCAGAGAGCGCTGGCTCTTCAGCTTTGAAACAGAGATGAGCACCGCCCCCTAGAGTCAGGAACGACTAGCACATATGTGTGAGGGGAAGCTTTACCTTTACTTCATTTGTCGTCCACCAGTGGCTTTCCTGCAGAGCACGTGTCATCTGCTGTGGAGCTACCCTACATTTCTATGGGTTGATCAGGCATGTTTTGGACCTAATCTCAGTTTAGATAGGATGATTTGAATAGTATTCTGATGGGTGTGAATCGTGGGCAAATACCAACAGCAGTAGACAAGCAATATTTCAGGCAACTTTTCCATCATGAGTTGATATTGAAAAACCCAAGAATCAACTTTCAAGGGATTTATAAAGTCAATAAAAAAAGAACAGAATACAGGATAACAGAGTTGGAAGGGAGCTTGGAGGTCTTGTAATCCAACCCCCTGCTCGAGCAGGAGATCCTATACCATTCCGAACAAATGGCTTTCTCTAAAAAAAACTCCAATGATGGAGCAAGGTTGAACTAGAGTGCTCTCTACGCTTGGTTGTTTGCTTGAAGATGATTAATCATCCGACTAGATAAAGTTCTCAGTGCCCGGGGTGGATTATGGACAACATCTGCAAGCAAACAACCAAGCTCAAAGAGCTCCAAGGACTCCACAATTTATAAAAGACACAACTGATGGTTATAACTGATGGCCCTGCCAGCCCAAGAGCGAATTCTATAACCATTGTAAAAGAAACTCATTCCATTCTCTATAACAATGTTTCTTAAATGCCAACTTTAAGACATGTGAACTTCAACTCCAGTCTGGGAGTTGAATGTCTATGGAGATTGTCAATCATCCAGGTCATGGTTGTTCCAAAGGCAAGTAGACTTTCTCTGAACTGAAGAAGCTTCTTGGATGAGAAGCGAAATGTTTTTAAGGGAAAAAACCCCCCCAAGAAAGTCCAGTTGCCTTTTTGAAAATTACCTTTTGGGAGTTGAAGTCCACATGTCTGAAGGTTGTCAAGATTGAAAAACACTGCAATATAAAGAATCATCTGTCCTTTCCTTGCAGCTTCTGTTTTGGGGTGTAGTGGAGAGAGGAGTTTTGGGGGAGAATTTAAAGGATGTTGGCCCCTGGAATGTCCCTGAGTGAGGTCACAATGAAAAGCTCTTGTTCAAGCCTTCTCGTCTTTAAACATGAGTGATGACCAGAAAAAAGGCATTGAATTTCCCTTCCCTTAATGGTTCCCTCCATCATTGAATTTCCCTTCCCGTAATGGTCCACTTGATGCTTAATTTAAGTGAGGCTGTGCAAATGTTGAAGGAGTTTTTCACTTTGATGATGCTTTGAGTGATTCATCCCTTTGAAGATGCTCCATGAAGCCACACAGACCTCATTTCCCATCTCAGAATAAAGCAAACATTGCATCTCCTAGAACCATATAATCTCCTTACCATAAGGAGGACACTACAGGATCATGAAGGTGGAAGAGCCATTTATGCTGGCAAGTCTTGCATTAAGACAGCCTTTAGACCCATTGCACCATCTGAATCAGTGGTGGAATTCAATTATTTTTTACTACCAGTTCTGTGGGCGTGGCCTGGTGGGCTTGGTGTGGCTTGGTGGGCATGGCAGGGGAAGGATACTGCAAAATCTCCATTCCCACCCCACTCTGGGGCCAGCCAGAGGTGGTATTTGCCGGTTCTCCGAACTAATCAAAATTTCCGCTACCGGTTCTCCAGAACCTGTCAGAATTCACCCCGATCTGAATTATACAGTAGATACAGATATAGATCATTGAACTATAACTCTTAGCCAGCATTGCCATGTGAGAATAGATTGCGAAGAATTACACTTTAATGAGAGTCAGGGGTTATCTGCTCCTTCCCTTACATCTTGATCCAATCTATGTGCATACCTCTACAATCCATTGTTATTCTTTTCTCTATCATGCACACTTTTCTGAGATATAAATGATTGTGTAAGGGCTCAGCAAGTCAGAAGTAAACAGTATTGTATAATCACTGTTAATTATCCTGTTAGTAGCAACCAGATTGACAATAGCCCAGTGCTAAAAATCAAACACACTCCCCCATCACTTGACATATGCTTATATTATATTTCTACGGAAAAATCTACACATTTAATAAGATGTGTTAAAGGATATTCATAACCAAAAGATTTTTCATGATATGTGTCATTTTAGAAAAGGAAGTTCATCCTTATTAGTAAATATATAAGGAAAAGCATCCTCAGGTGTATAAAATGTCCTAGTCAAATATTTAATAATGTTATATATTTTATGTTTATTATTTATTTCTTTTTATTACTTGCTTTATTGCTTTTTTAATAGGAAAAAAAGTCTTTATATATTTTAATGTCTCTACTGGATTTGTTGGTTATCTTTCATTTTATTGCTTGACTAGTTTAATTGCCTTTTTTTTTTCAATATCAAGTTGCCTCTGTATCAAACGTTCATCATTAGCTTTTTACCTTCTTCTGCATTATATTATACTGCTTTTGGTGGGTTTTTTTTTACATTGGTTATTTTATACTATTGTGTAACTTTATATAACACCTATGAAATCTGAGAAAGAAAGGGGAGAGGAAGGAAGGAAGGAAGGAAGGAAGGAAGGAAGGAAGGAAGGAAGGAAGGAAGGAAGGAAGGAAGGAGGTGAAGGGGGGATGGGAAGGGATGGGAAGGGAAGGGAAGGGAAAGAAAGGAAAGGAAAGGAAAGGAAAGGAAAGGAAAAGGAAAGGAAAGGAAAGGAAAGGAAAGGAAGAAAATTTTGTTTTGGCTTGGATTCAAAAGGTACAGTTGGTGGATTTAAAATGGCTAATGTCACATTTCCAGAAAAGAGCTATCAGAAAAAAAAAAAAAAAACCAGTTTAAATCTTTTTGCCCAGATTAGTTGCTCCAAACTAAAAAACTAAGGCCAACTCTAGGTCACTGAATTCCTCCCTACAAACAGCTCAAACAAGAATAACTGGAGGGACGTGCATATGAGCAGGCAACTAATTCACATGTCATCTGACAGCTTGTAGAGACCCAGATGATCGCTAGCCAGTTAATTCCTAATGATCTCATTATGTCCTGCATAGCATTTTGCCTTGAAGAGATGGATCAATATCCTATTGGGAGGCTCTCATAGTCTTAATGGAATGTCCTTTATATCTCTCTCAGGAAACAAATGGGTGAAAATGCAGCTTCCCATATTCCTTAACTCTGTGAGATGCAGGAAACACTTGAAAGAACAATCAAAACAGATATGTTCCTATGGATTGGACCTTATAAATATGATCTTGGTAGTTTCTGTCTCTGGCCCTTAAATAAGAGGCTTTCTAAGTGGGAATTTTATATGTATAAGACTGCCATATAGATCAGGGGTCTCCAACCTTGGCAACTTTAAGACTTGTGGACCAGCTTTGCTGGCTGAGGAACTCTGGGAGTTTAAGTTCACAAGTCTTAAAGTTGCCAAGGTTGGAGACCCCTGATATAGACCTCACCAAGTTTGGAAAAACTATACATATAATGCTAATATTGACATACTAACAATACAATTAAGAAAGTCAGAGGTGACAAACATGCTCAAGTTGTAGAGCAGTACAGCTGTCCATCATAAAGCTGAAGAGTTATAAATGCATGACATGACCTCTTCAGGAGGAAGACTTAGGTGTTGGAAATAAAGAGACACAAATTAGTTCATTAGGGCAAATACGCTGGACTTTCAAAGAGGAACTTAACAAAATAAGCCTGAGTAAGCCTAAAATAGAGCCTGAGTGGCACAGCAGACTAATGCTACTGTTAAAGGTAGTATTTAGCTTCCAGCTGCCTGCAATTACTGCGAGTTCAATTCTCACCAGGCTCAAGGTTGACTCAGCCTTCCATCCTTTCTAAGGTAGGTAAAATGAGGACTCGGTTTGTGGGGGCAATAAGCTGACTTTGTATAAAATATGCAAAGTATGAAGGCTATTGCTTAACGCCTTGTAAGCCGCCCTGAGTCTCCGGAGAAGGATGGCATATAAATTAATTTTTTTTTAAAAAAAATTGGAAATAAAGAGACACAAATTAGTTCATAGGGGCAAATACGCTGGACTTTCAAAGGGGAACTTAACAGAATAGCAAAGTAACGGAGTAAAAAAATGCAGCTTCCCATATTGGTTCATTGGCCACATAGAGTTGCACATATATGTTAATATATTTAAATTTAGTAGCTGGAGCAAGTGGGGTTGTGCAGTAGCAGTGAGCCAGACCACGCAATGGTGACTGATTGGTTGAAGGGTGCTGGCTCCTGCATGAGGCAATCTGCGCTGTGATTGGTTGCTGCGGGTGCGGAGGGGGAAGTTCCCTTTTTCCCTGCCTTTTTCTTCTGCGCGCCCTGTGATTTACCTCACGATGCTCCTTTTCGCATGACTCTCTCTTCTTTGCTGCATATACAGATGTAAAATATATAGGTAGTCCTTGGCTAACACCAGTTCATTTCGTGTCTGTGGAGATTCTCAGTCATCTGGATCGTGGTTGTCCCAAAAATGCTTTTTCAAGAGGCAACTGGACTTTTCTGGTTTTTCTTTGAAGACGTTTCGCTTCTCATCCCAGAAGTTTCTTCAGCTCTGACAGGATGGTGAAGAATTCCAGTCAGAGCTAAAGACGCTTCTGGGATGAGAAGCGAAACGTCTTCAAAGAAAAACCAGAAAAATTCAGTTGCTTCTTGAAAAAAACACCCTTGGGACAGTTCATTTAGTGACCATTCAAAGTTACAACGGCCCTGAAAAAAGTGACTTATGACCACTTTTCACACTTAATGACCTTTGCAGCATCTCCAGGATCAATGTGATCAACATTCAAATGTTGATGCAAAGTCGATGGGGAGCCAGATTCACTTAACAACGGTATTACTAACTGATCAACTTGCAGTGATTCGCTTAACCACGGTAGCAAGGAAGGTTGTAAAATGGGGCAAAACTCACTCAACAAATTTCTCCCTTAACAACTGAAATTTTGGGCTCAGCTGTGGTCGTTAAGTCGAGGAAAACCTGTATTTATTTATATAAAGCTACAAGTTTGTGACAGCTTCTCTGATTTCATTTGGACTCCCACTATGTAATTCCCTGACAATATATTTGCAAGGTAGCTTACCTTTCCCCTGGATATAACAAAGAAGGTACTTCCTTCCTCTCCTTCTCGGATAACATAATCGCCTTTGTCATAGTATTCCTGTGGAACAAAGAAAAGGCAAATAATAATAAGCTGTAACAGTCTACAGGTAGTTCTCCATTTACAACAGTTCAATTAGTGACCATTCGAAGTTACAACAGCCTTGAAAAAAGTGACTGATGATCATTTTTCACACTTATGACCGCTGCAGCATTCCCAGGGTCGTTTGGACACTTGGCAACTGACTCATATTTACGTCGGTTGCCATGTCCTGGGGTCATGTGACCCCCCCTTTCGCGACTCTCTGACAAGCAAAGTCAATGGGGAAGCCAGGTTTTCTTAACAACCATGTTACTAAATTAACAACTGCGGTGATACACTTAATAACTGTGGCAAGAAAGTTCGTAAAACAGGGCAAAACTCACTTAACAAATGCTTCATTTAGCAACAGAAATTTTGGCCTCAGTTGGGGTTGTAAATCAAATTTAGATCTTCCCAAGATACTAACAAAAAAAAAAACATTGGCATTTTCTAGAGAAAATTATTTAAATTCCTACCAAATGTACAGTCAGGACTTAGATATGAATATTGTATTAATCAATTTACTTAAAGTGGATTGAAGTATTGTCCTTCAAGCAAGGGTGATATTAATATTACATAACAACCATTGTATTTGTAGGCTTTCTATATGGGGAGAACAGAATCCTTCTATGCCAAAAAAAAAAACGCAAATTCTAAAAAGCTACGTTCAAAAAAGCTTCGGGAAGAAGGAACAAAAGCCCAAAAAAAATTTGGCTCCACTGCCCGTATTTTCCCTGTGGCGAGTATGTCTTCTTCTGCATAAGTTATAAACACGTTGATCAATTAAACATGAATGTCTTTTTAAATGACTGAAAGGGGTTTAAAGCTAATTGATAATCCAAATAAATCTATTAAAGAATGTGGCATGACTATTTGCACAAAGTAATTCCACAGTCTTTTGCTTCCTTTGATCAACTGCTCAGATTTAGTCAGTGCAAAACCATTGAAATCAAAGGGTCATTAATATGGGCCAATAAATCAAAAAGAACTGATTATTCAGGCTTCAAAAATACATACATACATACATACATACATACATACATACACATTTTTAAATAGGCCTGACATGAAACCAGATTGGTTTCTATGAATTGGACCTTATAAATATGATCTTGGTAATTCCTGTCTCTGGACCTTAAATAAGAGGCTTTCTAAATGAGAATTCTATATGTATAAGACTGCCATATAGACAGCACCAAGTTTGGAAAAACTATAGATATAATGCTAACTAGCTGAATACCCATGTTCTGCTATGAAACTATGTGATTGGGTTTGATAAATGGACACTTACAGCTTGAAACTTAATGAGTAGTTAAGATCAGCCTCTCCTCTCCCCTTCTCTCCCTCAGCCTTGCCCCACAGAAGCCTCCCTCTATCCTCTCCCCTTCTCTCCCTCAGCCTTGCCCCACAGAAGCCTCCTCTATCCTCTCCCCTTCTCTCCCCTCAGCCTTGCCCCACAGAAGCCTCCTCTATCCTCTCCCCTTCTCTCCCTCAGCCTTGTCCCACAGAAGCCTCCCCTATCCTCTCCCCTTCTCTCCCTCAGCCTTTCCCACAGAAGCCTCCCCTATCCTCTCCCCTTCTCTCCCTCAGCCTTGCCCCACAGAAGCCTCCCCTATCCTATCCCCTTCTCTCCCTCAGCCTTGCCCCACAGAAGCCTCCCCTATCCTATCCCCTTCTCTCCCTCAGCCTTGCCCCACAGAAGCCTCCCCTATCCTCTCCCCTTCTCTCCCTCAGCCTTGCCCCACAGAAGCCTCCCCTCCCCTATCCTCTCCCCTTCTCTCCCTCAGCCTTGCCCCACAGAAGCCTCCCCTATCCTATCCCCTTCTCTCCCTCAGCCTTGCCCCACAGAAGCCTCCTCTATCCTATCCCCTTCTCTCCCTCAGCCTTGCCCCACAGAAGCCTCCCCTATCCTCTCCCCTTCTCTCCCTCAGCCTTGCCCCACAGAAGCCTCCTCTATCCTCTCCCCTTCTCTCCCTCAGCCTTGCCCCACAGAAGCCTCCCTATCCTATCCCCTTCTCTCCCTCAGCCTTGCCCCACAGAAGCCTCCTCTATCCTCTCCCCTTCTCTCCCTCAGCCTTGCCCCACAGAAGCCTCCCTATCCTCTCCCCTTCTCTCCCTCAGCCTTGCCCCACAGAAGCCTCCTCTATCCTTCCCCTTCTCTCCCTCAGCCTTGCCCCACAGAAGCCTCCCCTATCCTATCCCCTTCTCTCCCTCAGCCTTGCCCCACAGAAACGTCTCTTATCCTATCTCCTTCTCTCCCTCAGGCTTTCTAGCCCCTTCTCTCCCTCAGGCTTGCCCCACAGAAGCCTGTCCTATGCTATCCCGTTCTCTCCAGAATTATTTTCAAATTGGGAGGGGGAGTAGAACGTCTAACTAGTTAGCATCAGAGCGTGTTATAATAATATAGGAAATACTAATGCTCTGATGGTCATTTTGAAAAATCCTTTCTTAGTGAGCACCTAGAAGCCAAGAGGAACATACGTGGCAAATTTCAAGTTTGTAGGCTTCACAGTTCTGGAGATTTCGTGATTACGGCATGAGTGGTTTTCGCTTTTATATAGATAGATAGATAATACGGGTACACTAATAATACAATTAAACATGTCAGAGGTTACAAACATGCTCAAGTTCTAGAGCAGTACAGGTGTCCATCATAAAGCTGAAGAATTATAAATGCATGACATGACCTCTTCAGGAGGAAGACTTAGAGACACAAATTAGTTCATTGGGGCAAATATGTGTCACTTTCAAAGAAGAATTTATCGAAATAACAAAGTAGCAGAATAAGAGAGTTGGAAGGGACCTTGGAGGTCTTCTAGATCAACCCCCTGCTCAAGCAGGAGACCTTATACCATTTCAGACAAATGGTTGTCCAACCTCTTGTTAATTCTTAAACCTCCCATTGTTGAAGCTCCTACAACTTTTGGAGGCAAGTCGTTCCACTGATTAATTGTTCTAACTGTCAGGAAATTCCTCCTTAATTCTAGATTGGCTGGCTCTTTGATTAATTTCTATCCATTGCTTCTTGTCCTGCCTTCAGGTGCTTTGGGAGAATAGCTTGACTCCCCTCTTCTTTGTGGCAGCCCCTTAGACAGTGGAACACGACTATCACATCATGTAACTTGATTACTTTAGAAAAACAGAGAGACTAATAGAGTTTAAATTAAAGCATATATTGTCAAAACAATTTAGTTCTTAAGTTTACGAAAGAGGACACGAGGTTTCCAATGGTATCCTGGATCAAGTTGCTCAAATTGGTCAAATGAAATTTCTTAGATGATTGCTAAATTACATAAAGCTTTCTCTTCTTGGGCTTTCTTTGTAGCTGGAGAAATGCCAGCTGTTTAACTTCTCTTATCAGTCATCTTGTGCTCTAATTAATCTATCATAGAGAAGAAATTCCTCACGAAGAGCAATATTAGATTTTGTCTGAAGAACAGACAAAAGCATTCTTTTGTTAAAGTAGAATAAAAAGGTAACATTGTGGGCTACAGGAATATTACTGCATTCTTATAGAAATAATGTCCTCCTTGAGTAAAGACAGGACTGAGAAAAAGAAAAGGGAGGAGGGGGGAAAAATTCCTAATAAATCATTAACGGCGGCTGCAGTTTTATAATTACATATATTCCATTGTCTCACTGTGCAATTTTTATGCTAGCAAACTACCCGTTCCAGAGATGGGTTTCAGCAGGTTCTGACCAGTTCTGGAGAACCGGTTGCATAAATTTTGAGTAGTTCAGAGAAACGGTAGTAAAAATTCTGACTGGCCCCACCCCCATCTATTCTCTGCTTCCCAAGTCCCAGCTGATTGGGAGGAAATGGGACTTTTGCAGTAACCTTCCCCTGGAGTGGGGTGGGAATGGAGCTTTTACTGTATCTTTCCCCTGCCACGCCCATCAAGCCACACCTACCAAGCCATGCCACGCTCACCAAGCCACACCCACAGAACCGGTAGTAAAAATTTTTGAAACCCACCACTGACCCATTCCCATTCTTCCTACACACAGATAACAAATTTGTTGGATTATTTGGAGACACAGGACATCTCAGGTAGATAAGAAACCCAAATAACTGAGTCAAAAAAGTCAATATGGAGATCCCAGCAGTTCAATAGTATACTCATCATTTTTTGGATATGTGTTGATAATACATATTTATAAAGGGGCAGAGCTCTACCTCCATTGCCATGACCGCCATCTTCTTCTTTTTTTTTTTTGATACCTCCCATGGATGGCATTGACCCAAACTACTTAAGCCAAGAATCCAAACAACTTTTTTTTTTTTACTTTAAAGAGATGCAAGCAACAGGAGAGGCCTAACACATTTAAATTCATGCTAATGTTTTTGCTTTGCTTTATTGCTTTCAGGTGCCATACAATATTTTCAAGGGAAAAAAATTGGACAATCAATTTGGACATGTGCTTGTCTGTGTGGTCTTTATTTATGACCTTATACGGTGCATTTAAAGCAACCCAATCCTGGATTAATGCACCTTAAAATCACACCTGGAAGCCCTACTCCCTGCAAATGGGTCCCTAGCCTCATTTTTGCAGCCTCCCTCAGCCCTGCAGTTTTGCACCGTTGCCGTCATCCTTCTTGATCACAATATTGGGCAACCTTTTGCCTTTTAATTTTAAGAGAAAGAACAAGTGAGCTTTTTGCTAATGTACAGCTGGGATTCATATCCAAAAATTTAGCAAACGGCTGTGGGTCACAGTGGACGGTACAGGTAGTCCTCAACTTATGACCACAATTGAGCCCAACATTTCTGTTTCTAAGCAAGTTAACAGTTGTTAATTGAGTTTTGTCCTATTTTACAACCTTATTTGCCACAGTTAAGTGAATCACTGCAGTTGTTAAGTTAATAACATGGTTGTAAAGTGAATCTGCCTTCCCCATTAACTTTGCTTCTTAGAAGGTCGCAAAAGGGGATCCCATGATCCTGGGACACTGCAACCGTCATAGTTACCAAGCGTCTGAATTTTGACTGGGTTCAGTCAATGTGGCTGTCAGTGTCTGATCGTGACTGGGGGGATGTTGCGATGGTCGTAAGTGTGAAAAATGATCATAAGTCACTTTTTTCAGTGCCACTATAACTTCAAAGAGTCACTAAAGGAACGGTTGTAAGTCAAGGACTATCTGTATTGAGCTTAAGACAGCCAATGGTGTAAGTCAGCTTCTGTTCTGCCCCAGCTACGGATTCCAAAGAACACAGCACACACAAACTCTGAACAAAACTTAGCTTACTCAAATAACGCAGTTTTAGCAAATGCCGGCTGTTAATAAGCATTCTTAACAGCCTGCCAGAATTCCACAGATAAGATAGACAGAGTCTTACTGGAGTTGGCAGCAAGCCCAGAAGCAAGGTTGCAAAAAAATCCCAACACGATGATTAGCGAACTAAAGTTGTTTCCTGCAGCTTGTTACAAGATGCGTTCTTTCTTAAATAGGCTAAGGGCGTGGCCAATTAGCCCCAAGCCTTATTCTCGAGAACTCCTCCTAAGGAACCACTCCTGCCTTTTGGCAGCTCTGCGCGCCCATACATCGAGAAGAGGCTCCTCCCCTTCATCCTCTTCACTTAAAGGAGCTTCTGGAGGTTCTGAAGGCCCTGGCTGAATCCCTGCCTCTGGCACCACTTCTTCTCCAGCCTCCTCGCTGTCCGACTCAAGTGCCGGCTGCACAGGCTGCTGGCGCAGCACCACACCAGCCTCCTTGTCGTCAGGATCAGCAACAATCCGCGCAGGCCGCTGGCGGGCCACAACAGCTTTCTGGTACATAAAACAGGAAGCTTGAAACAAATGATTCAGGTTGTGACTTAAGCAGTCAGGCCAGCTCTGCAAACAATTTGTGCTAGGCGATGATTTCAGCGAAGGTATTCTATTGTTGCAGTTGCATAATATCGAAAACCGGCAGTGGGTCTCTTTAGATTTCCCTGCCAAATGGAAGGAGTGTGTTGCCAAAGACTTGCTCTGGAAAAATTCAGGTCACGCAGGCAACACACCAGCTTTTGGAAGGAAGAAAGGGAAGGAGGGAGGGAGTGAAGACAAAAGCTGAGCCCAAATGGCATCTAATATTAATATATCTGGGACTGTACTTTTCATCATCATCAGATGACTCTGCAGCATTCCTGTCTACAATTAAATTCCTTTTTTTTTTTTACCCTTTGTTCTACTGGAGCATGCAAATCCATGATTACATAAGAATGTGTGCACGATAAATCAATTTGCCCAGAATAATTTCGATTAGCCCTTCAAATATAAAACTCTTCATTTACACAGATTAAAGCATAAACAAAAGAAAAGAGTGGAATAAACCAGATCTATTAATAATGGATCTCGGAATTTTTTTTTTCCAGTTACAAATCATTATATTTCAAAAGTGTAACAAAAGACAACAGACAGAATATCCTGCTATTTCTTTTGAAAGCTATGCATGGTTGCTTCTATGGGTCATTAACACAGGTATTTGGTGATATATGAGGTAAGTATCACAGCATGTCACATTTTTACAGGTAGGTGTTATAATTCTATCAGCTATATTAATCAGCTATATTAAGTGCTCTTAAATATAGACCCCCAGATTCAAATGTCCCTTCCCCCAAGAAAGGATTAAATTTACAGATTTCCTATAGCATTTTATTCCTTCCCTTCCTCATCCATTTACTTCCTTTCCTTTCCTTTCCTTCTTTCCTTTCCTTCTTTCCTTTCCTTTCCTTTCCTTTCCTTTCCTTTCCTCTCCTCTCCTCTCCTCTCCTCTCCTCTCCTCTCCTTCCCTCTCTTCAATTTGACCATTTTGACATATTTAGGGAGTTTTCCACAGGCAGAATTTCGTTTCAAGCTTTTGCAATGGGACATTATTTCCCATAAATTTCAGCCTTTTAGACAGCATGATCTAGCTATTTTACATAAAGTACTGTGATAAAACATGCTATCCATCAAAAACTACATGTTGCTAAAGCAAATCTATGGGAAGCCATGCAGTTTAGAAACTATTCCTGGGAATTTCAGTATGAGTTCCAGAAAAGCAAGGACAGTAACTTCCTGCACAATGGGACTTTCAGATTCTTCACATTGAAAATGCTATTGAATAATCTTATTTAGCTCAGATCAAATAACACAGAATTTGGAGCTTAATCAGCGCATACAGTAATATATAACTCTGTTTGACTTTACCCTAGAGTGATTTTGCTAAAGAGATAAATAAGATTAAATAATCTCATTAGGGGTACAAGACTTACCACTTCCAAGCAGTCTATAATCTTGGTTAGTTTATCTTCGGGTAAATTCTTCAGTAAAGAAACACTTGAAAAAAAACAAAAGAAATCCACTGAATTCAATTTGTATACAATGTTTTAGCTTTCAGTTTTCAACTTTTACTTTGAACCATTTTGACTTCAGCTCTTTCTTGGAGAGTATTTGATACCCCTAAAATAGTATGCATATTATGGGTATTACCTATAAAAGACAGTTAACATGAATGTGGTTAATGGTAAAATTTGGCATATATACATGGAAGTTCAGCAGTGGTACCGAATAATCACTATAATCTACAGCCTTTGCAGAGGTTTTTGCCCAAAATACATTCTTTCAGTTTGGTTTGAGTATAAGTACTAGGATAATTACATAGGATTTTATATCTGAGGACCATGTTTCTTCAAAGAACTGTGATTTGAGAAGTGGCTTCTAAATGGCTGTCATTAAAAACGTCAAGTTATCTGTCAGACTCTTGTCAACAATTTCAGCAATCAGTACTTGCTCAATCTATACAACTGCCTTCAAAACAGGATGAAAATCACCGTTTTCTATCCACCGATGAAATCAATACTGATAGAACAGATACTCCCTACCGATTCTTTTTCAATCCAAATTCAAAGACTCGTATTTTCATTGGACAATGGATGTAAACAATAATATTGTTCTGTTTGTAGTAGCTATTTTCACATTGAAATTAATGACCAAGGTCATTAATTTACAGCTACAAATATCCTCCTCATAGCAGAGGATATTTGTAGATCCGAGTTGAACTGTGGAGTTCTTGTTATTCTCTCTAAGCTTGTTTTCTTGCAGAAGTTTTGTTACAAAACTAGGAAACATCTTCAGTGCTAGAAAGGACTGAGTTTTCAGCCATCAACAGGCATATAGGAATAAATGACATGTACATACCACTCAAGAGACACTCAAAAGCCTAAAAAGAAAACAGAAAGACCAAAACACCTCCTTGCCAGCAATCAATAGGAGCCTGGATAGCTCAACAGACAGAGCACTATAATTTAACACCAGCTGCCTGCAATTACTGCTAGTTCGAATCTCGCCAGGCTCAAGGTTGACTCAGCCTTCCATCCTTTCTATGGTAGGTAAATTGAGGACCCAGTTTGTGGGGGCAATAAGCTGACTTTGTATAAATATACAAAAGTATGAAGGCTATTGCTTAACGCACTGTAAGCCGCCCTGAGTCTCCGGAGAAGGGCGGCATATAAATCAAATTAAAACAAAAAACAAACAAAACAATAGCCAGATAAGCAAGGATTAACACCAGAGACCAACAATCAAGCAGTAAACAATACCCCAATCAAGGAACTATCAATTCAGACAAACAATGAAATAGTAAATAACAAACTAATCTAGGAACTACCAAGAAGAAAATGACACTCCCATCAACACTGACAGGACAAGCCACTGTATATAAACAGAGAACAAATCCCACTCCCTTCTAGCATTGAAGATATTACCTAGTTGTGTAAATAAACTAGTTGTGTTGTTCTTGTGCAAGAACAACAACCAAGCTCAGACAGCACTAAGGACTTCACAGAATTCCATGTTATAGATATTTCCTGTATACATCCAATTATATAGAGATTTGCAGTAAAGAACCCAAATAGAAAAATTCAGAACTGAACTCCTACAGAATATTCAGATTTATCTACAATGTCTTCATTTCAATATAATAACTAAAGGACAATTCTGGATCTCAGAATTGATAATAAGATGCAATTCAGCTATCTTCTAAAAGCAGAAAATAGAGTTTGCAGGTAGTAGCACCAACTACCAACCTAAATACTTCCTTTTTCTTTCCCTTTACTTTTTTTTTTTTTTTTGAGATCATAAGATTTTATAAATAGGACCAAAATATTGCCCAGCAAATTTTTGTCTCAGAATATCCTATTTTTATCTGCTGATATTAAAAAAGAAGGATGCGGGTGCCAAGTTTACCTTCTCAGAAAGTTTCTATATTGGTCATGCCTTGCTTGAGCTGTTCTTCTCATGATATTTTGGAAAACCTCTCTGTCTAATGCCCATGTTTTCACACTGGTGACAGCTAGAGAGAAAAAAAATGAAAACAAAACAGAAAGGGAGACAATTCTAGCATACAGTATAATATCCATGTACAGTCAGAACACATTTTCTCAAATAATGATGTTTACTAAAGTTCTTAGCGCTACCGAGAATATCTTCACACTTTCTCTCCCAGGAGTTAACACTGAGGAGTTGCAATCAGCTTCGTACTTTATTACTCACACATATATATTTTTTTTGTTTACCTTGTTCACCACTTCTATCAATTTTCTTTGGAAGATGACCTACAAATATTGTAGACAAATAAATGTAGTGGCCCAAAGCATTTTAGAATAATGATTCAACTGTTATATAATATCTTCCAAAGTCATCTGTAAATCAAATAGTGTAAGAAGCTAATTTTGAACATAGACATCCTCTATACCTCCATCTGCATTTAGGGGAAAAAAACATTTGAGTACTTTTGCATACTTTGTATTTCGCCACATTATGTCAGAATGCATGAGGATGTCCAGATTAGAGATTCTACCTTGCATAGAAAACTTGAACATGGTTGGGGTAAAACGGGGCAATGCTTCTGGCACATTGATCAAATGTGCCTAAACAGTTATGAAACAACAGAATAACAGAGATGGAACCGACCTTGGAGGTCTTCTAGTCCAACTCCCTGCTCAGGAAGGAGACCCTAAACCATTTCTGAAAAATGGCTGTGCAACCTCTTCTTAAAAGCCTCCAGTGTTGAAGCACCCACAATTTCTGGAGGCAAGTCATTCCACTGATTATTCTCACTGTCAGGAATTTTTTCTTTATTTTAGGCTGCTTCTCTCCTTGACTAGTCTCCATCCATGGCTTCTTGTCCTGCCCTCAGGTGCTTTGGAGAATAGTTTGACCCCCTCTTCTTTGTGGCAGCCTCTCAAATATTTGTTGTTGTTGTTGTTAGTTGCGAAGTCATGTCCGACCCATCGCATCCGACTCATGGACAACGTTCCTCCAGGCCTTCCTGTCCTCTACCATCCTCTGAAGTTCATTTAAGCTCACTCCGACTGCTTCAGTGACTCCATCCAGCCACCTCGTTCTCTGCCGTCCCCTTCTTCTTTTACCCTCAATCGTTCCCAGCATTAGGCTCTTCTCCAGTGAGCCCTTCCTTCTCATTAGTGTCCAAAGTATTTGAGTTTCATCTTCAGGATCTGGCCTTCTAAAGAGCAGTCAGGGTTGATCTCCTCTAGGACTGACCCAGTGGTGGGTTCCTCCCGGTTCGGTCCGGTTCGGGCGAACCGGTAGCGGTGACGATATGATGTCACCGAACTGGTTCTCCCCCCCCCGCACGTTATTCTTACCTTTTATTTGGTCCCACCCCCAATCTATTGCTGCCTCCTGAGTCCCAGCTGATGACCAGAGGGAAAAAAACTGTTTAAACTCTTGCTGCGGGGCCGTCCTACAGCTGATCAGTGTTAAAAGCAAACAAATGAGTCGGGTCGTAAGTGCGAGGACTGGTCGTAAGTGCGAGGACCTTCCAGAAATGACTCTGACCAGCTAGCCACACCCACCTAGTCACATGACCTCCAAGCCACACCCACAAAATAAGCCACGCCCACAGAACCGGTAGTAAAAAAAATTAGAACCCACCCCTGGACTGGCCGGTTTGATCGCCTTGCAGTCCAAGGGACTCGCAGGAATCTTCTCCAGCACCATAGTTCAAAGGTCTGAATTCTTTGGTGCTCAGCCTTTCTTATGTCTCATGATAGCAGTGTCTCAAATATTGAGACACTGCTATCATGTCACCCTTAGTACTCTTTTTCCCATTAAACTAATCATATCCAATTCCATCCTTTATATGTTTTATTAGCCTCCAGTTCCCCTGATCAACTTTCAGTAATGTACCATGTACATTACTGAACTAAGGTTGCAATCTATGTAAATAACAAGTAAATAACATGTATATATGATCATAAAGAACTGTACATAATTACCTGCAATAATACCCATATACCCATATACAAGCAAAGATAAAATACTATGTAAATAATATGTAAATAATTTAACACCACGGAACCGAAAAACGCAGACTTGTATTTCTATATTTTCACAATAAAAACCAATAAAAAAAAATTAAAAAAAGGAATCCCTGCAGCCTGAAACAGCCGAGAGTCGGGAGGCCGATCCAACAGTAAATCAATTTGTGCTAATTAGGCTGTGCTGAAGCTGAAATGGGCTGTTTCTTCTTGCTGTTTGCTGCAAGGAGGTAAATTGCTGGGAGGCAGAGGCCAAAGAGTGGGGGCCAGTGGGTGGGCGGGGCTACATTTGGGTATAAGATGCTCCCAAATTTTCACCCCCTTTTAGGAGGGAAAAAGGTGTGACTTATACTCCGAAACATACAGTAACTTTACATATAATTTCAAAGTTTTATATGCAGATGTGACATTTTCAGGGAACTGGATTTCGTAGAAAAATTGATCGGTTCTATTCCATATATTTCTTTATTCCATCTCTAATAAGAAAGTATTCAGAATGTCCTCGAATTGTGCATTTCCCTACTATCGTTAATTGGAAAGCATGGCAGGAGAAATAATAATATCATACGTAGGTTTCATTCACAGATTTTTGAATTTCATGTCCTCACCATGGAATCCTGGACTGTAGTCTTGTTTTTTGCCATGTTTTCAGGAACAATCCTACTCACCTTTTATTGAAGCTGTCCTTGTGCAATTATATAAAATAGCCAGTTCTCCAAAGGCTGTCCATACAGGAATTGATGACAGAAATTTGTTATGTTGATAAACCTCCAATCTACCTTCTGTTAGGGAAAAAAAACAAACCAAGTAAAAATCAAAATGATGTAATGATGTATTAAACTCTGCTTTCCTTTTATTTATTTTTTGTCCCTCTTTCAAAACATTAATCTGTTTTTCATTTTTAACTTGATTTTTTTTAACAATCTTGACAGAATAAATTTAGTAAGTGCCTATTTAATTACAAACTAATTACAGTTTCAAATTGTCAGTAATTTAATTATGCAAATGCATGCTCAAATAAGCTTACTCCCTTGTTTTAGCAAACATGTGTGGGTTTTTTTAGATAGCTTTTTTATTGTTGTTAAAGGAGGGGACTTGTGTTACATTTGTTGTGTGTTTTTCTTCTTAAACACTTGTGATCATGGTAAGGACTTAAAGTTCAGTGATAGAAAAGTGACTTAGGACCATTTTTCACATTTATGACTGTTGCAGCATCTTCCTGGTCACATGATTTACATTCAGACGCTTGGCAACTGGTTCATATTTATGACGGTTTCGGTGTCTCAGGGTCATGTGATCCCCTTTTATGATCTTCTGACAAACAGAGTCAATGGAGAAGCCAGGTACATTTAATAACCAGGTTACTAACTTAACAACTGCAGTGTTTCACTTAACAACTGTGGCAAGGAAGTTGTAAAATGGGGCAAAATTTACTTAACTAATGTTTCACAACAGAAATTTTGGGCTCAATTGCAGTCATAAATCGAGGATTCCCTGTATTTAGAGGAAGAGACTAAGAGCATACCCACTCTATATGGCTTGGTAGGACAGGTCAATGTCCTTAAGGAAAGGCAGTTTCACAGATAACCCGACTCTATGCCATACAGAATAGAATATAGAATTGAATTTGGGATTTTGTACTTCTGTTTTCTGACATTCTGAATGGTCACTAAATGAACTGTTGTAAATTGAGGGCTACCAGAACTTGAAAGTTGCACGGATTACCATTATCAGTTCATAGAGCCATATATTACAAATAATTATATATATATATTTGTATGTGTGTCTGTATATCAAAAAGCTGAAATTTCTCCATGGGTTTCAACAGGGTGGATTTGATTTAAATCAAGTTGATTTAAATCACAATTTAAATCATGTTTTAAATCACTAGTAAAAAGGCTTGATTTAAATCAACTCGATTTAAATCATAATTTTTAAAGAGCAACTGTCATCTCTGCTACTCCTTTGACCCACTGTTGACTCACCGATAGTCCCAGTGTTGCAGAATATACAGCCTCATGCTACATAACTAAGCTCCATTTCATGCTGAATAAACTAAATTATTTATGTATCTTAAATAGAAAACTATCTTACGATAGATTTTTACCCCAAAAGTTTTTTATTAAAATAAATCCGATTTAAATCAAAAAAATCCGATTTAAATCAAAAAAATCTGATTTTTTTGATTTTTTTAAAAAAATCATTGATTTTTATCCACCCTGAGTTTCAAGCATGATTTGGGAGAAAGATAACAAAAATCAACTATAACAGTGATGGCTAACCTTTTTGTCATTGCGCGCCAAAAGTGTGTGTGCACGCGTGCGACAGCGAATGCATGTGCTGGCACCCATAATGCAATATGCACCCCACCTGCTTGTGCGGGCACGACCCCCCCACGCCCCACTGTGCATGCGCGCATCTCCACGCATGTGCCCTCCCCCCCTGCGCCCCCCCCCCCCCATTTTGGGGCTGGAAAGCCTCCTGCACCAAACTTTGCAATCGCGAACTGGCTGGCAAGGGGATGGATGTCCCAAGGCTGCATGCAGGTGTTGACGGTATGGCTGGTGGCCACGTGCACTAATAGGAGCTGGCCAGTGGGCATGCGTGTACTGGGAAATGGATGATCAGCTGGCTGGCTGATTGTTGCGTGCGGATGCGCACCAGTAACCAGAAGACTAGCTGGCCGGTGCACATGCATGCACCGGAAACCTGGAAGAGGAATGGGCGATGCCGCGAGTGCCAGGTGACATGGCTCTGTGTGCCACTTCCGGCACGCCTGCCATAGGTTCCCTATCACGGAACTATAATCTCTTTCTCAAGATTCTGCTCAGGGGTTTTCATTTCCTCATTTTTATTGCGGTTGAGGAATGGATCCAGGGCCGGATTTAGATGAAAAGAGGCCCTAGGCTATTCCACTTATGAGGCCCTTTCACCTATAGTGAAAGTGTAATTTTAATTTTGCTAACAATTTGAATGTAGGGAATGTAGGCCCCTCTTGATCTTGAGGCCCTAGGCTGAAGCCTAGTTAGCCTATAGGAAAATCCGGCCCTGAATGGATCACATTACCGCTAACAATCCTTCTTTCTATAGTCTAAACTTAATTTCTTGCTTCAACCAAAGGCAAGATATCACGTGTACAAGACCTCTAAACTTGGCGGCGTATTTTCTTCATTGTGAGTAATTGCTTCCTTCAGGATGACAAAAAAATGAAAAACACTGTTTCACAGCATGTTGTTCACAAAATACCGATTTTGCTAAAGAAGAAAACTATTGTTCTGGCCCTAAGAGACGTCAATGGAAATTGGAGATGAAACATTTGGGCAGACGGAAAGGACAGATTTGCCCTTAATCCTATTTCTTTCCTAGTATTGATTTTAACGCTTAATTAGAACTAATTCAATTCAGTTATTGATGTCTTCGGAACTGTGGCAGTGTAGTTTTGTCAGGATCAAACCAAGAGATAGAATTAGTCACGGTTATTTAAGGACACATCATGACTCATATATTGTATAGGCAAAGGGTTTGTATATGTTTGGGTTTTACACTGGGGAAGAGAAGGGTGAAGTTTAGAAAGAGACTGTGATGTTTCCCCTTTGCTCAAATTCAAGCATACTCCTTCCAGCCGAATATATTTTCTGAGTTAATGGTAGAAAGCAAAAGAAGAGCAAAATCTCAGTTATGCACCTACACTGATCACTTTTGAGACCCAACTTGGAATCCCAAACAGTTTAAAAGAAGCCAGTCCTGAGAAATTGCTCATACCATTTACACAAAATGCAATAGATTAAAAAAAGCAATGATCTATCTGTCTGTCTGCCAATCTACGTATCATTCATCTGTCTGTCTGTCTGTCTGTCTGTCTGTCTGTCTGTCTGTCTATCTATCTATCTATCTATCTATCTATCTATCTATCTATCTATCATCTCTGTCTGTGTCTGTCTATCATCTCCATCTATCTATCTATCTATCTATCTATCTATCTATCTATCTATCTATCTATCTATCTATGCAAAAAATTAAAATCTCGGGTGTTTTCCTGAGTCATTGTAAATAAGTTGGTTAAAATGTTTAAAATTCTGGTTAAAATCTCAGCTTAAAATCTTCTAAAAATCCTTACAGAGCACTCTGCAAGGTCCTCAGCTAAAATCCTACCAGTGACTATCTATCTATCTATCTATCTATCTATCTATCTATCTATCTATCTATCTATCTATCCATCTATCATCGTCTGTCTGTCTATCTATCTATCTATCTATCTATCTATCTATCTATCTATCATCTATTATCTATCTATCATCTCTGTCTGTGTCTGTCTATCATCTATCTATCTATCTATCTATCTATCTATCTATCTATCTATCATCTATCATCGTCTGTCTATCTATCTATCTATTATCTATCTATCTATCATCTGTCTGTGTCTATCATCTCTCTCTCTCTCTCTCTCTCTCTCTCTCTATCTATCTATCTATCATCTCTGTCTGTGTCTGTCTATCATCTATCTATCTATCTATCTATCTATCTATCTATCTGTATATTCTTTGCTTTAGATAATTACGGTATATAGAGAATTGTAACTGTTTAGTGTTGTAATGATGTACACTTTATTTATTTTTTTCTATTGTATTTGTCACATATTTTTAAATTTGCCTTTTTAATAATGTAATGTCTTGTGTTACCTTCTCCCCCCCTTTTTTTCTGTTATTATTTTTAAAAATAATACATAAGTAAATAAATACCTATTCTGGGCTAGATGAAACAAGCCCAACAAAGCTTTCCTTGCGTTAGCAGTCTAAGACTTAGCCTTAGAAGCATAATTTGAGAGTTTATTATTTAAACAGACAACTAAAATGGTTACCAACCTGCCAGTACAAACAAATGGTTTCCAGGTTCCCCTTGTTTGATTATGTAGTTTCCTTGCTGGTATGTCCTTCCGTACATACATTCTACCATGTCTCTGATCTGCTGAAGGTCCAGCCTTTTCAGAAATTGGTTTCTACTCAGAGCATCTGTGATAAGCTTTTTCTCGCTTCCATTCAGCAAAAAGAGAACAGAGAAAGAGAGAAAAGTCAGATTAATTTGCACACATGAATGAATAGCATTATACCCAATATGTTCCTCTGTACAATATTCACCACCTACTACCCATAAAGGTAACTTTTCACAGTAACACAAAATCTTCATTAGTAGGTAGGTATCTTTATCTGATGCGACACGGTGGCTCAGTGGCTAAGACGCTGAGTTTGTCGATCGAAAGGTCGGCAGTTCAGCAGTTCAAATCCCTAGTGCCGCGTAATGGGGTAAGCTCCCGTTACTTGTCCCAGCTTCTGCCAACCTAGCAGTTCGAAAGCATGTAAAAAATGCAAGTAGAAAAATAGTGAGCACCTTTGGTGGGAAGGGAACAGCATTCCATGCTCCTCTGGCATTTAGTCATGCCAGCCACATGACCACGGAGACGTCTTCAGACAGCGCTGGCTCTTTGGCTTTATAACAGAGATGAGCACCACCCCCTAGAGTCGGGAACGACTAGCATATATGCGCGAGGGGAACCTTTATCTGCTATACAGCTTTTCTCCAACCTGTTCAGTAATGTTTTTTTCATATCACCTTGTACATAGTCCTTGACTTATTACCACAATTGAGCCCAAAATTTCTGTCACTAAGAGAGACAGTTGTTAAGTGAGTTTTGCCTCATTTTTTGACCTTTCTTGCCACAGTTGTTAAGGGAATCACTGCAGTTGTTAAATTAGTAACATGGTTGTTAAGTGAATCTGGTTTTCCCATTGACTTTGCTTGTTCGAAGGTTGCAAAAGATGATCACATGACCCTGGGGCACGGCAACCGTCATAAAGATGAGTCAGTTGCCAAGCATCTGAATTTTGATCACGTGACCATGGGGGATGCTGCTACAGTTGTAAGTGTGAAAAACAGACATAAGTCATTTTTTCCAGTGCCATTGTAATTTCGAACTGCCATTAAACGAATTGTTGTAAATTGAGGACTACCTGTAGTTGAACTTTTAAATAGGACAGGGCAGAAGGAATGTACAGTAAGTGGTTATTTTCCAGCAAATGTCTCACCGTTCTGTATTTCTATGGAAATTCATTTTTGCAGATATGTGACATTTAGCAGAAAGACAAACGAATCAGGCTGGATAAATGGAGCAGATGCAAAGCCAATAAAATCTAAATCTACCCTTAGGAAAAATATGCCTTTCTGAATATAGCTCTTCATGCATATTAAATTTAGCAGATTAAATATTTTGGTGATTTACTGAGTTGGCCTCCTCCGGGTCCCGTCAGCTAAACAATGTCGCCTGGCGGGTCCGCGGGGGAGGGCCTTCTCTGTGGCTGCCCCGGCTCTCTGGAATCAGCTACCTCCTGAGGCCAGGACCACTCCCACCCTACTGGCCTTCCTGAAAATGGTGAAAACCTGGCTTTTCCGGTAGGCTTGGGGCTGTTGATCTCACCACTACGATCTTGTGAGATCCGGCCATGAATGGTGTGTCTCTTATTGTATATTGTTCATACTGTCTTTGTTGTAAGCCGCCCAGAGTCCTCGGAGAGTTGGGCAGCATAGAAATACGATAAATTAATTAATTAATTAATTAATTAATAATTTCCTTAAAATTTAAAGAAAATCTCAAAGAGAAAGCATTCAGGTGAACATTTTTTTCCCCATTCAAGTGACGCAATAAATAATCTCTGAATAAACCTTCAAACTGATTTAATAAACATTTAAAATATACTTCATTAATTTTCCCCTCAGTGAAACATTTAGGACTAGTATAAAACCATTCAAATATTTTATGCAGCTTATGAAATTAAACTGGCATATGTTTCAATTTTGTTTACTAAAGTATGCGGAATAAATATCCTCAATTAGATTTTAATGATTTAAGCCACAATAATTTTTTTTGGGGGGGGAGGGGGGAATGAATCCTGTATGCAGACTATAAATGATGTTTTATCTTTTCAAGAAATATGGATTAGAATCAGTGGTGGGATTCAGCCAGTTCGCACCGGTTGTTAAGCTTCTAAGCAGTTCAGAGAACCGGTTGTTGGAAGAAATCTTATTTTGTTTTTTTCCACTTTACAGGGCTAATCCTGTAAGGAACTGAAACATTCTGGTGTTGTTTCTAGCCTAATCTTTATTGCCCTGCTTACAGAAACTGCCTCTCTGGTTAACACTTATTACATTGTAACAGCTAAGGCGAAGCGCTCATCGACGTGAGTGACATTGAATTGGCCATGCCCACACGGTCACATGACCACCGAGCCACGCCTACCCAGCTGGTCATTAGGGCAGAGAACCAGTTGTTAAATTATTTGAATCCCACCACTGCTTAGAATATATAGAATAAATTTATATAAATATAAAATATAGAATAGGTTGCTGTTACTCAAATACTCCTACTTCAAGAAACTTTCTCTATTTAATTTGTCTATGAAAAAAAACCTCCTTGCCACAAATCCAGTCTCTGATGTATTCTCTTTGGGGAAAAACTCCAACCTCATCTGAAAGTTATTATTTTTACTTGACAGGAAAAAATGCATGGAGTATAATCATATCAACTCTATTTGCCCAATTAGATTAATTTTCTTTTCAGCCGTGGTTCCATTGTAATGGAATGTATAAATAACCTTGGGGAGAGAGAGGAGCAGATTCTGCGTAGGAAACAGAAAAAAGAGCCAGGAGCCCTCAGTCACTTAAAGGTCAGAGAAAGAAAATTAAGATTGCAAGATTGATGTCAGCTCTCCCCCTCCCCCGATAAACCTGACAAGAAACAAGACAAGATTACGGGTAGTCCTCGACTTACGACCACAATTGAGCCCCAGATTTCTGTTTCTCAGTGAGTTTTGCCCCATTTTACGACCTTTCTTGCCACAGTTGTTAAGTGAATCGCGGTAGTGGCTAAATTAGGTGAAGTGTTGTTCAGTGAATCCGGTTTCTCCATTGACTTTGCTTGTCAGAAGGTCACAAGAGGTGATCACATGATCTTGGGACACTGTAACTGTTATAAATAGGAACCGGTTGCCAAGCATCTGAATTTTGATCGCATGATCATGAGGATGCTGCAAAGGTCGATGTAACTGTGAAAAACGGTCATGAGTCACATTTTTCAGTGCCGTTGTAACTTTGAACGGTCACTAAACGAACCATTGTAAGTCAAGGACTACCTGTATATTTCTATGTCTACCCTTTGCTACTCCAAGAGAGAATCACCTTCTAGAATCAGATATAAGTGGACCAGGTAAAGTATTACCTTTATGTTGTCATCACAGCTTTCTTTCTCTAGGACGGTGTTTCTCAACTTTGGCAACTTTTGAGATGTGTGAATTTCAGCTCCCAGAATTCCCCAGTCGGCACACTGTTGGCATGGTATCTGTGGCAATTCTAGGAGTTGAAATTCACACATCTCAAAACTTGCCAAAGTTGAGAAACACTGCTCCAGAGATCTAACATGGTGAATTTAATTCTCATCTCTGTTTCTTAGCCGAGGGAGCTAGTGTTGTCTGAAGACTCTTTCCATGGTCATGTGGCCAACATGACTATATACTGAGGCACAAAGAACACTGTTACCTTCTCACTGAAGTGGTACCTATTTATCTACTCGCATTTGCATGCTAGGTTGACAGGAGCTGTAGCAAGTAGCAGGAGCTCACTTTTTTCAGTGTCATCGTAACCTTGAACAGTCACTAAAAGAACTGTTGTAAGTCGAGGATTACCTGTACTGCAAATCTCCTAGAGCAAGGGTGTCAAACTCGATTTCATTGAGGGCTGCATGAGGGTTGTGTTTGATCTCGGGGGGCCAGGGTGAGTGTGGCTAGCTCGACATCACTCGTGTCGGGGGCGCCTATGGCAGCCCAAGCGCTCTGCCAGCGAAAATGGGCTCCCGAGTTCCGTTTTCAGCTGCGACAGCCTCCTGCAACCCCTCTGCCAGTGAAAAGGGAGCTTGGGAGGGCCGCGGGCCGGTCCTTCACTGTTTCCATGGCAGCCCTGCGGGCCAGATCTAAGCACACCGTGGGCCGGATGTGGCCCACGGGCCTTGAGTTTGACACCCCTGTCCTAGAGATACCCCACAGATCACAGGATTATACTTTTCTGGTTATACTGATCTTTTTCCTACAATTCCTACCAGTGGTGGGTTTCAAATTTTTTTACTACCAGTTCTGTGGGCGTGGCATGGCTTGGTGGGCGTGGCATGGCTTGGTGGGCGTGGCTTGGGAAGGATACTGTAAAATCTCCATTCCCACCTCACTCCAGGAGAAGGATTCTGTAAAATCTCCATTCCCACCTCACTCCAGGGGAAGGATTCTGTAAAATCTCCATTCCCACCTCACTCCAGGGGAAGGTTACTGCAAAATCCCCATTTCCTCCCAATCAGCTGGGACTTGGGAGGCAGAGAATAGATGGGGGTGGGGCCAGTCAGAATTTTTACTACCGGTTCTCTGAACTACTCAAAATGTCCGCTAGCGGTTCTCCAGAACTGGTTAGAACCTGCTGAAACCCACCTCTGATTCCTACCCTAAAACTGCCAATAATCTGATAGCCACAATGAGTTCTGGTTAAGCCATTCAGCCACAGAACAATTATTTCAGCACCCAGAAAACACCACAGCAATTTTCAGCAGCATCCAATACATCCAAAGTCAATGCTGCTGTTCTAATTATGATAAAGGACCCAGGCTAGGAAGCAAAAGCAATTCATAACTCTTGTCAGCTTCAAAACATGAAATGCTGGAAGGAGTTGATAGCAAAGACAAAGTGCTTAACAAAAGTTCCAGGAGCAGCAGGTAGCAAATAAGATGAAATAAAATAAAATACTTAAGAGTGATTTTCTTTCTTTTTGTTCATTGTGATGACTCCATGATTCATGGAAAAGAGTGTGGCAAGAGAAGATATCAGACTGATCCCATAATTTATGATTTATGGAATTAGGGAAAGTTGAGTGGCTTCATTTCTCTGCATTCTTTTGTGAAAACAAAACAACTTAGATTCAAATGTTGGAAATCTATACAGCTGTCCT